ATGGCGTTGGTGACGGTGTAGGCATTGGTGAAGTAGCCGACGTCGATGGTCGCGGCGTCGTAGGTGGAGTCGGTACAGGGGGCGTAGAGGGCCTCCTTCTCGACCTCAGTCCGGTAGACGCGTGGCTCCTCCTAATTTCTTGCTTCGCAGCCTCCGACGCAAACTTGGCAACCTCTTCCAACTTCTTGTTCTTCCTGACTTTCTTGGACTAACGTAGGCACCGTCGATATCCCCAACGTACTAGCTCCCAAACCACAACGGCCAGAATAGCAGTCACAAAGCAAACCAACAGGAGCTCATCAAGGCCGGCATTCGGCAAGGGCTCCTTCCCGACCTCCTCCGCTCTGGTAGGGCAAATGCAATGGGCAATGGTGACCAAAACCATCATCAGCTTCAGCTTCAACTCCTTAGCCCAAGTAGTTGCGAACCCCACAAAGCCCCAGAGCTGCATCAATCGTTGAAGTCGTAGCTTCGGTTGCGCCTTCGTGGCTAAATCTGCCAACTGCAACTCTCCTGGAGTGTGCCGTATAATCAGAGTGCCATTCTCCACATTCTCCCGGATGTAGCTCGCCCGGATCTTCAAGTGGCGTGTACGTTGTGATCCGTGGCCTCCCTGACACATCGATACGGCGCTGGTGTTATCGATAGCCAACACCTTCTGGTACTGTTGCGGAAAAAGCTCGTTGAGCAAAGAATGCACCGAACACAAAAGCGTGCATCCCTGCGTTGCAGCGTAGAGCTCTGATTCCATAACGCTCATTGTCACAAAGGATTGGCGTCCAGCTTTCCAAGCCAACGGACATCCGGCAAGGACGACAACGGCTGCCCCAAAGCTCCTGCGCCCATACGGAGCATAGGACGCGTCCGTATAGCAGACCAGTTCATGCGTAGCCTCCTCTGTAGGTCCCAAGGTCAGACGCACATCAACCGTGGCAGCGAGGTAGGCCATCACACGCTGCCCCACTCTATAGACATAGTCTGGCTTCCGTCCCAGCATTGCCGCCATGTGGTTGGTGGTGAACAGCAAGTCGGGGCGGGTTTTTGTTGAAAGCCATAGGAGCTCGCCAACAACACGTTGCGCCTTTTTAATCGCTTCCTCCGTGATGTCCTCCTCCGGCTCGTCGTTGTTCTCTGCTTGCTCAACCCAATCCTTAGGCACTGGAAGCTGAGTGGTAAAACATTCCTCCATTCCATACGAGCGAAGCAAATCCCGCACATAAGCAGATTGCCCAATGGTGAACACCCGCCTCGCTGTCCCATCGTCCATTGTCCTGGCTTCAGTCCTAATCTCCACTCCCAGGTAACGGACAGGGTCTCCATCACCTATCCATTCCAGCGGTGAGGCTGGCCACTCCTCAACCACAAAAGCGTGAACCGCATTCACAATGACTTTGGTAGAGAAGTAGGCAATGTCGTCGACGTAAAGCACCATGAGCCCATACAAGACCCCCGTGACCTCATCGATGATGGTCCATAGTTCAGGCTCCGATACGGTAGGTCGTAGAACAACGATACAGTCGTTCACCTGGATACGGGCAGTCAGTAGTCTCCTATTGCGGTAATCACACCAAATCCTCGGACTTTCTCTCAATCCGTAGAGCGGTCGCTCTACTATCCAAGCTTCGTGTCCAGCAACACCCGAATCTCGAACCAGTCTGGGAGGGTATATCCCATATTTGGGTAAGTTGGGAGGCCAGGTGGCCAAAAGGAAAGCTCCCGTAATGTCTGAAATAGCTCCAAACCAGTTCATCAGAGAAGAGACGATAAGGGTGAGTCTGAGCGAGTCTGTCGAGGAGCCAGCGGCGTATAAATCGCCAAAGTCCATGTTGTCCTTCACAAAGTTGCCGCATATCACTAGACGGCATTTTCTCCTCACTCTCCTGCCATGAACCTGAGGAGGCTTGAGAGTGAAGATACATTTCGCAGGAGCAAACGTCACAAGTCCTTCTGCCTCCATCTTCTTCGCCTGCTCCAACGTGACTTTCCGCAAGGTACCTGAGGAAAAAAGGGCTTCCACTTCCTTCTTGATTGCCTCAGTCCAGCGACTCAAGTACTGCTTAACTTGAACCGTTGGTACCGTGTGGACTATCTTCAAATCTTCCTCCAGGCTGTCCAGGAGGGCCTCATAATCAATCTCGCCCTGGTCCTCAGCAGACTGTGATGCCCTCGCCGCCTTCAAGCATGTCATACTCTTCAACCTTTCCAAGCCCATGAGCTCTTTATGGACATACTCAAGAAACTCGCACACTTGATCACGCGCATCTGCTACATTCTCTCGCGTCTCTTCACCCATGCGCCGGTACTCCTCGGCCAGGATCTCCTCCTCCTCAAGTAGATCCCGTAGGCGTGCTGCACGGTCCTCCATGTCTCCAATGGCCAACTCCAAATCATGCGGAAGGTGTGACCAAGCATCTTTCTTCTCTGGTGCCCCATGATGTACTTTATCTACACCACCCCCATGTTCTGAGGAATCTCGAGGTTGTTCTGGAACTCCTTGTTCAGCATCTTTATCAATCAAACCCCCATGTTCTGAGGAATCTCGATGTTGTTCTGGAACTCCACATTCTTTAGAGGCGTTCATGAGACCAACCCTCAGTGCTTTGAGTGCCTTTACTTCCGCTAATCCCTCAGGAGGCTTCGACAAGTGAGGTTCCCAATCAAATCCCATTTCATGTAGTAGATCGACTTGATGGTCCTTCAGCTTTGCGCTGTCTCTCACAGAGTACGCGACCAAAACAACTCGAGACCCTCCGTACCACGACCTCGTCGAATGGCGGTGTTTGGGATCAAACACCTGAAAGGGTACATCGCCATCCAGTGGGAGCACCTTAACACCAGTAGGTTCCTCGATTTCCAAAGCGCCACCCTTGAAGTACGATAATCCAGCCACTAAGTTCTCCCCCACATTGTGTGCATCAATATGCTGCTTCGTTTCCACATCTGTGATTACAGCAATTGCATTGAACTTGTGGTCCGGCTTCAGCTGTTTGACATACTTCACAAACGCCTTTGTACTCGCAGGAAATGATCCAGTGGCCGTTTTCACCCCAACTATTCCGCCATGAACAAAAGCTCCGCCATTCCAAATCTTCTGGTTGTCTTTCCGGGGTCCAAAGCGTTTAGGTAACGGGGCCGTCCTCCTCCTCAAGCAATCTCAGGGCATAGCACTCAGCAGGATGATCTGGATCATGTGGGAAGGACTCCTCAGCATCACCACTCTCATCTTCTTTAACAACTGCTCCAGTCTTGCCCTTCAGTCTTCTGGTAGGCGCCGGCAGTAACACTTCGTACTCCTCGAGGTCCACAATCTTGTCCGGCTCAACCAAATGTGGTCTCAAGTGGGTGGAGGTCATGTAGGCACCGTTCTCAAACCTTATCAGGTGTCCTCCTCTGACGTCCAAGCTGGGGCCAACATACGTGCCTCCTTTCCACCTCGAGTCCAAATCGTACTTTCCCCCAGTGCCGTAGACCTTAGATCTGATGTGAACCTTGGTCCCAAACGGCAACATTGACGACGATTGTTGTAGCAGACGATCCATCCTCTGTTGAACCGCGTAGTTCGCCGCCACAGCCCAAGTGTCCTTAGGGAGATCGGTGGCAATCAACAAGCGCTTCACCGCCGCCTTCACCCACTTGACTGCCGCTTCTGCGCGCCCATTGGATTGAGGCGCTTGTCCTTCTGTAAACGTGCAGAAGATTCCCCTTTGTAGGGCCCAGGCACGGATCGATTGAACACGCAGCTCGCGTGCCCGATCCGCATGTATCCTAGAGATGTGGAGACCTTCCGCCTTCAGCTTCAGCACCGTCTCTTGTACGGCAGCCGTTACTTCAGCCGACGTCCTGCTCCGCAAAGGTCTGACAACGTAGACCGTCTGGAAGTCCAGCTCGTGACCAACCTCGTCAAAGATACGCTTGAACTCCTCCTCGGAAAGTCCTCTGACTCCCTCCTCGCCCGCAAGGTTGCCTCGTAGCCGCCGTTCTGGTACCTCTTCCAAAGGATGTGGAACGCCATCATTCCCTTCAACATCGCAACCAGCCATCTCGATAAGCGGGTCAAACATAAATCCCTCCATAGTAGGATCACCCAAGAAGGAATCTGCACGTGGATCACGAGATTCGCTGGCTTGTGGTACATGTGGTTCACTGGCTCCTTCGGCTTGTGGTACATGTGGTTCACTGGGTCCTTCGGCTTGTGGTACATGTGGTTCACTGGGTCCTTCGGCTTGTGGTACATGTGGTTCACTGGGTCCTTCGGCTTGTGGTACATGTGGTTCACTGGGTCCTTCGGCTTGTGGTACATGTGGTTCACTGGGTCCTTCGGCTTGTGGTACATGTGGTTCACTGGGTCCTTCGGCTTGTGGTACATGTGGTTCACTGGCTCCTTTTGCTTGTGGTAGTCTTGGCATCGTGTAGGCGCCAATGAGCATGTAACGATAATTCTTGTGGTTGGGATCAGCAGCCTTATTCCGGAAAGGGCCCGCAATGTCCAAACTCAAACAGTGCAACGTAGGATGCCGAACCTTTCGATGAACTTTCCCAGTGCCTGAGGATGTAACGCACGTTCGACACCGCTTGTTGAAAGGTATATAGTATATGGTTGTTTCTTACATGCGTACGCCACATGGCCAGCTCCTTGTCGGAGAACGCTTCCAGGAACTTTCCAGGATCCGCATCGAGCCTTTTGACCCATTTCATCACTTGTAATGCCTCTGGCTCCCTTCCCCAAGCCCTCACCGCCTCCATGGTCGCAACCAGTTCTCGCCCACCTCTTCCAAGCACATAGCCTCGGTGAACGGATCCCAGGACTCAGTAACCGACAACCACTTGGCAACCCCACCAATGCGTAGGATGTCCATCAGCTTCTTGCCTTCCATCATGGCAAAAACGGGATGGCCTCCATGGTGAGCCCTTGCCGCCTTAGCAACCATCATCAACCACATCATCTTCTGAACCAAGTCCACTCTGGTAGGCGGACTCCCAATGATCCCATCAACCCTTCCAGTAGCAGCGGCCCACAAAAGCGCCCTGTAGACACCAGCAACCATCCCCACGTCCTCGGCCTTAGAGCGATTGATGTCCACTTGTACAAAAACACGGCCATCATCAAGCTCGCGAAACAGCGGGTCAATGCCCTTGTCCGGCCCGGAGTACAAATGGATCACCCACGACGAGCTCATCAATCGCTTTCGCCGCTGTCGTGAGCCCGGAAGGGCCCTCAGGTAGGACCATCCCGCTTTGTTGTCCAGCTCCACGTTCTCAGCCACCAACGCTCGGTCCATTTCCGGCCACTTACCAAACGGTGAGCCCTCTGTCGACATAGCACGCAACTGTGCGCCACGTCCTCCAACTCTCACGAAGTCATCCAAGTGCCTGGCCCAAGGCTTCTCAACATCCCATAACCAAACCGACTTCGCTGTAGCCTTCGTAGCGAACTCAAGCTGCCGAAGCTTCTGGCACTCGATCTCGTAAATGAGGTCCAGAGCCTGGGACTCAGCCACCACCGGACACCGCCCAACCACTTTCGGCTTTATGAGCCCGTGTTCCGGATGTCGGATTGTGAGCCCGCCCTTCCTTGTCCAGGAAACCTGACAGCCCAAGTCTTGGACCAATGCTCCGAGGGGCACAATGGGCCCCGAAGAGCCGCGAGCTGCCTTTCGTGTCAGCAGCGTTCCACTCGGACTTTGGGCCAAAACAATCTCCTTGCCGTCCGCTAGCTGAACATGCACTTGGTCAGCGGCCTCAATCTCATGGTCCGTTGCCCGAATCAAGGAGTCCTGTTCGACCCGTTCGTGGGTCGCATCCAACACCAACTGCTTGGTTCTCCACTTGGGTCGTAGATAACGACAGAGTCTTCAACTGCCTGATCTCTTTCAACATTGCGCTAGCTTCTTCCAGAAGGCTCTTAAGTTGGTTTTCAGGCACTGACGGAGCAGGCAACGATGGCACAGAGCTGCTGTTGGGCTGCGGAGTAGTGGTCGCCGTACCGGTAGTCGAGGAGGAAGGAGTCACCTTGGGCTCCGCGATCACCTGGGCTATCGTTGGGCACTCTTGCTGCTGGTGCTGCGTACTCCCACAAGTCCAACATCTGCCTTGGCGTTCTTTGCGAGTGCAGTTGTGAGAGAATGTACACGAAGCGCCCTTTGAGCAACCCTTGTCCGTCAGGTAGAAGCGGCACGGAGTCTTAGCCTTGGCCTTTGGCTGAACAGTATTACCCCCAGCCTCGGTGCTGGGCTTGGGTGGCGGCGGAGGCGGCGTTGTCATTGCTGCCTTCACGAATGGTGTACCCGAGCTTGCAGGTCTGCTACGGTAGGCAATCTGCTCTAGCTCACTCATCAGGGCCTGTTGAAGATCACGTGCTCCACGTTCAGTTGGTCGGGTGTCTACCTCCAACGTGTATCTCAACATCGACACTCGAAAGGCAATGTCCTGGTTCTCCGGCAGGATCTTCTTGACGATCACATCCAAGCCACGGACGAGGATGCTTGGGTCCGGCGTTTGCACGCCGAGGTCGGTTGCGCGACCCATCCATCTGCCCCATTTCCGGAGCTCATCGACAGCCTCAGAAGCGGTCTGGGCCACCGTTGGTTGCTCCAGTGCTCTCAGAATCTGTTGGCGCTCCGCCAACGACCCCGGTCGATACAGCACCATCACCCGGCACAACGTAGGCAAAGTGCCCACGAGTCTCATCGAGAGCACTTCATCCTTCACCTTGGTAGGCAAACTGGTCAGGATCATCGACGACGCCCTTTTGTCAACCCTCGTCCACCGCGAGTCCTTGAGGAATGCCGTCTCATAGTCCTCAGCCTTCAAGGTGAGCTTGCCAACATGGGAGGCCTTCAAGTAGGCATCATAGTAACTAGTAAGGCACTGCAGAACTTCGGTCCACCACTGACCCGAACCATTCGAGAGGTCACCCATGTGGTTCTGAAGCCCATGTAGCCAATCTCCCACATCTATTGCCGAGTTGTTGGAGAGATCCGCTAAACGCGGAAGCTCAGAGAGCCCGGGCTTCACGACTTCCGGCTCCTTCGACCTTGTGCTCAAGCTCTCCGACATCGCCGTCTGGAGCTGGGCCATTCCTTGCACTAGCGTCCCAATCGGGTCCTGAAACGCTAGGGACCCGGCAGGCACATTCACGTTTGCACCAGGAGCGGTTGCTCCTTGGGTAGTAGGCAAACTTTCCCCTCGCGCTGTAGCCCGTGTAGGTACCGATCCAGCTCCATGCGTAGGCTCAGTCCTCGGCTTCGCTCCGCCAAGAACACCAAGTGGATCTCCTCCTGCACTTGCACGGCCTTCATATACGTTCTGAGGATCGCCTCCAGATACTTCATCACGCCTCGCAGCTTGGCCGCCAGGTTGGACATTACAAGGATATCCTCCAGCACCAGCAGGAGGGGCACGTAGTCCGGCAGGATTGCTTCCTCGCCCTTCGCCAGCCATAGGCAAAGAAACGGAACCCTGAAGTCCCACCGGAATTCCACGATTCACCTCATCTCCTTGGTCCTCGGCGGCCTGGTTCTGAACCTGAGTCAACAGGCGCTCCAACATCACCTTGAGCTGCTGGTTCTCTTCTACAAGAACTTGTCGTTGTTCCTCATGAGATCTCATCTCCATCTTCACCTGCTTCTGAACTTCCGCAAGCATCTGCTCCTGGGTAAGGGAGCCGCTCGAGGAACTGTCCCGCCGTTGTTCTGGAGTATACAAATGCGGGGCTCGTCGTGACCACTGTTGCATCGCTTGCTCGGCCTCCGGTGTAAACAATCTCGGAGGCCTCGGAGTAGTGGCTTGAGCCACCTGAGCAGGTGATCGCTGTCTTGCCTCGATAAGAGGAGTCATCATAGCCGCACTGGCCTGGCTCACCCTTTTCTGCACAAACTCCTGAAGTCTCATAAACCACACACCCTGATTCCCCGTACCCGCACCAGGCGAGCGAGATCCAGGAGGCAGCTCTTCGGGAGGAGAAAACTCAAACCCGCTGACTTCAACACGTTGCTGTGCCTGCACAAAGGTGGGCTCAGACTCCTGCAAAGGCACACTTGATCCCCGTAGTTGCACACCAGGAAGCTCCGGCAAAGTATGCTCCAACACCCTAGGTGCAGCAGGCTCAGGCGTCTGAGGAAGAGGCTGTGGGGGCACTTGGCCCCCCAAAGTCTCCTGAGGTCCCGGAGCCGCTTGCGGATCCTCCACGACACCATTCATCACGACATTGGTACCTGAAGGCTGCTGATTCGCTTGCGACAATCCAGGGGGTTCCGTCGTCGCAGCACCATAACTTGGCCCTGCCAACTCACCTTCCATGACAATGGCAGCTTTTGGGCTCATACCCTGATGATGACTTGAAGTCATCGTTGCTGTTCGTGAACTACAGCGGAGGTTCTCAAAGGGCCATGGCACCACGAAACGACTCGAATTTTCCGTCAAACGACCTGTCAGCTGCGTTTGTCTTATCGAACATGCCTTCAGCTTCATGTACACTTTACAAACTGAAATCGTGACATGTTTCACAGTTCGGCTCAGCGCTCACGGCTGAGGTAACAAGCACACAAACGTGGGCATCCATAGATACTGTGCACGGCCAACAAAATCCCAGACCCAAATCCAGGCCCAGCCCCCAAGTCCAGGCACACCTTCCCAGACCCAGATCCAGATCCCAAGGCCCCAAATCCCCCAAATCCAAATCCCAAGAATGCAGGCCCAAATCCAGGCACCAGGCCCTCCAAGCCCAGGCCCCAGACCCCAGGCCCCCAGCCCCACCCCAAATCCAAGCTTCAAATCCAGCCCCAAATCCAGGCCGCAAATCCAGGCTCCAGACCCCAAATCCAGGCCCAGTCCCAAATCCAGGCCTGAGGCCCCAAATCCAGGCCCCAGACCCCAAATCCAGGCCCAGTCCCAAATCCAAGCCCCAGCCAGACCCCAAATCCAGGCCTAGTCCCAAATCCAAGCCCCAGCCCCCAAATCCAGGTCCAGTCCCCAAATCCCTCAAATCCAGGCCCAGTCCCAAATCCAGGCCCCAGGCCCCAAATCCAGGCTCCAGCCCCAAATCCAGCCCCATTCCCAAATCCAGGCCGCAAATCCAGGCTCCAGCCAGGCCCAGCCCCTGCTATCTACAGCAAGTACCGCAACCAGCCCCAGCCCCAGGACGAAAGCCAGGCGCCCCCCCCCCAAACTCAAAATGTGGGTTCAAGCCAGGTGCGAGGCCTGCGTGGCGCAGCGGGCCGCTCACGGCAAACGGTGCACAAGCCGCCTCGGGAATATCGAAAGACACCGTGAGGTGGCACGGTGAACCGCATTATGGCGGTTTGCCGATGTGCCCTGAACATGCAGCAATCCCGCCTCTACGGTAAGAGGTTGTAGTAATGCCGATCCAGGTCCTAGGCAGCGCACCACCTCCACCTTCAGGTACTCTGAACTCTGGAAAAGACACATCTTGCGGATTGTGTGTTGGCACAGGATTCCCCTCCCAGCTGGAACTTGCCTGCTACTAACATCCGATGCCACTGCGAAGAGAGGTCAGGAATGCGGCAGCCAGCTGCTGAGGATTTCGGCGCATGGCCACCTGCGGGGTGGGGGATTTGACGGCAACGAGGAGCCTGACTTCCTGCGAGATGACACAACGCAGGCAAGGACTGCATCCTTCTAAATAGACAGATGCAGCCGCATCATCTCCATGCATGCATTCATCGCGACCCTGCATATGTCGACGGGAGCTGTGCAAGCATTAAGCAGATGTACCTATGCATACATGAATATCCCCGGGGCCCGTCGCAGCCTTCTGACGATTCCCCTCCTCTTAAGGTGTGTGGACCCCCGGGGCGGCACTAAGGGCTGCCTTCCAGGCCCGATGAGCACCCACACCTTGTATCGTCAGCTGCGGCGGGGTGACAGTGCCCCTCCATTGGCTCCTTAAATTCCAGGCCTCCTCGCCCATCTTCTTGCCAGTCCGCGCTCATCCATCCGTTCAGCCGCCTCCCTAGTTTCCGCCATGCGCTCACATGTAGTGTCTACCTACTTGCGTGTATTCATTCTGCCTTTCGCTCCTTTGTCGCAATCCGGTATGCCTCTCTTCCCTCGCATCACCACCGAGCTGGCGGACATGATCACCTGCTGGTCGCAAGGGCATTCGTTGACCGCCTCGATTGCCTACCGGATGGCCTTCCTCCCTCACTGCGCAACTTCAGCTGCGACCTGAGCTTCGCAGGCACTTCTCCGCGCTCCACGTGTTGGACGTGTGGCTCATTGCTCACAAGCATGGACCCTACACTGGACAACTTCACCGCTCACCTTGGCCGTATAAGACCTCATCACCGCTGCTCCCTGACATGATCATGCGCAGCCCACTCCCCCTCGCGCCGACTGACGGGGGTCTGGTCAACCGACCTCTGTAGGTTACTTAGGTTCGCCTCCACTTCCTCGACGAGTGTTTGCGTTATCTCACCTTCGCATCCACTCCCTCGAGTAGAATCCTGTGTCATCCCAGTCGGCCCCTCTCGCCGTTCCTGGGAGTCTGGGCATCCGGTTCTTTAGTAACAGGCCCCTTAGGTTCGGCACCTCCTCGACGCGTGCCTACCAAGTCACCCCCTCCAGTCACACACACGGTTCTGGGTAACCGACTTCTGTAGGTTTCCTAGCGTTGTCTCCTCTTCCTCGACGTGTGTTAGCGCTCTTTGAGAGCGGATAGTGAAGGACTCCCCCTGTCGTTCCAGACCCTGCTCGCTTCGACATCGGGGATCTGGGTAAACGACCTGCGTATGGACGTCGTTCCGCTTCATTCCATTTCGTCCACCACGCAGCTCCTCATGTCGTTCCAGACGCCCCTTCCCACCCCGAGGTGGCGGGTCTTGGTAAACGACCCGCGTATGGCCGTAGTTCTGCTTCTTTCCATTTCGTCCACCACGCAGCTCCTACGTCGTTCCAGGCCCCCCTTCCCACCCCGAGGTGGCAGGTCTTGGTAAACGACCCTCGTCAGGCCGTAGCTCCGCTTCTTTCCATCTCGTCCAACACGCAGCTCCTCTTGTCGTTCCAGACCCACCTTCCCACCCCACGAGGTGGCGGGTCTTGGTAAACGACCCGCGTATGGCCGTAGCTCCGCTTCTTTCCGTTTCCTCCACCACGCAGCTCTTCATGTCGTTCCAGACCCCTCTTCTCACCCCGAGGTGGCGGGTCTTGGTAAACGGCCCGCATATAAGGCCGTAGCTCCGCTTCTTTCCGTTTCCTCCACCACGCAGCTCCTCATGTCGTTCCAGACCTCCCTTCCCACCCCGAGGTGGCGGGTCTTGGTAAACGACCCGCGTTAGGCCGTAGCTCCGTTTCTTTCCATTTCGTCCACCACGCAGCTCCTCATGTCGTTCCAGACCCCCCTTCCCACCCCGAGGTGGCGGGTCTTGGTAAACGACCCGCGTAAGGCCGTAGTTCGGCTTGTTGCCACAAATTGTCCACCACGCAGCTCCTCGTGTCGTTCGTGGCGGGTCTTGGTAAACGACCCGCGTAAGGCCGTAGCCCCGCTTCTTTTTTCATTTCGTCCACCACGCAGATCATGTCGTTCCAGACCCCCCTTCCCACCCACGAGGTGGCGGGTCTTGGTAAACGACCTGCGTATGGCCGTAGTTCCGCTTCTTTCAATTTCGTCCACCACGCAGGTCCTCATGTCGTTCCAGCCCCCCCTTCCCACCCCGAAGTGGCAGGTCTTGGAAAACGACCCTCGTCAGGCCGTAGCTCCGCTTCTTTCCATTTCGTCCACCACGCAGCTCATCATGTCGTTCCAGACGCCCCTTCCCACCCAGAGGTGGCGGGTCTTGGTAAACGACCCGCGTATGGCCGTAGTTCCGCTTCTTTCAATTTCGGCCACCACGCAGGTCCTCATGTCGCTCCATACCCACCTTCCCACCCCGAGGTGGTGGGTCTTGGTAAACGACCCGCATAAGGCTGTAGTTCCGCTTCTTCCCATTTAGTCCACCACGCAGCTCCTCATGTCGTCCCAGATCCCCCTTCCCACCCCGAGGTGGCGGGTCTTGGTAAACGACCCGGGTATGGCCGTAGTTCCGCTTCTTTCCATTTGGTCCACCACGCAGCTCCTACGTCGTTCCAGGCCCCCCTTCCCACCCCGAGGTGGCGGGTCTTGGTAAACGACCCTCGTCAGGCCGTAGCTCCGCTTCTTTCCATCTCGTCCAACACGCAGCTCCTCTTGTCGTTCCAGACCCACCTTCCCACCCCACGAGGTGGCGGGTCTTGGTAAACGACCCGCGTATGGCCGTAGCTCCGCTTCTTTCCGTTTCCTCCACCACGCAGCTCTTCATGTCGTTCCAGACCCCTCTTCTCACCCCGAGGTGGCGGGTCTTGGCAAACGGCCCGCGTATAAGGCCGTAGCTCCGCTTCTTTCCGTTTCCTCCACCACGCAGCTCCTCATGTCGTTCCAGACCTCCCTTCCCACCCCGAGGTGGCGGGTCTTGGTAAACGAAACGCGTTAGGCCGTAGCTCCGCTTCTTTCCATTTCGTCCACCACGCAGCTCCTCATGTCGTTCCAGACCCCCCTTCCCACCCCGAGGTGGCGGGTCTTGGTAAACGACCCGCGTAAGGCCGTAGTTCGGCTTGTTGCCACAAAAATCGTCCACCACGCAGCTCCTCGTGTCGTTCGTGGCGGGTCTTGGTAAACGACCCGCGTAAGGCCGTAGCCCCGCTTCTTTTTTCATTTCGTCCACCACGCAGCTCCTCATGTCGTTCCAGACCCCCCTTCCCACCCACGAGGTGGCGGGTCTTGGTAAACGACCTGCGTATGGCCGTAGTTCCGCTTCTTTCAATTTCGTCCACCACGCAGGTCCTCATGTCGTTCCAGACCCCCCTTCCCACCCCGAAGTGGCAGGTTTTGGAAAACGACCCTCGTCAGGTGGTAGCTCCGCTTCTTTTTATTTCGTCCACCACGCAGCTCATCATGTCGTTCCAGACGCCCCTTCCCACCCCGAGGTGGCGGGTCTTGGTAAACGACCCGCGTATGGCCGTAGTTCCGCTTCTTTCAATTTCGGCCACCACGCAGGTCCTCATGTCGCTCCATACCCCCCTTCCCACCCCGAGGTGGTGGGTCTTGGTAAACGACCCGCATAAGGCTGTAGTTCCCAGATCCCCCTTCCCACCCCGAGGTGGCGGGTCTTGGTAAACGACCCGTGTAAGGCCGTAGTTCCGCCTCAATCCATTTCGTCCACCAAGCAGCGCCCCTCATGTCGTCCCAGACCCCCCTTCCCACCCCGAGGTGGCGGGTCTTAGTCACTTAGTCTTGGTAAACGACCTGCGTCAGGCCGTAGCTCCACTTCATTCCATTTCGGCCACCTGTCGTTCCAGACCCCCCTTCCCACCCCGAGGTGACGGGTCTTGGTAAACGACCCGTGTAAGGCCGTAGTTCCGCCTCTTTCCATTTCGTCCACCAAGCAGCGCCCCTCATGTCGTCCCAGTCCCCCCTTCTCTCCCGGTTTGTTAAATCCCGGCCGTAGCTCCGCTTCTTCCATCGCGTCCACCACACAGCGCTCCCCAAGTCGTTCCAGACCCGCTTCTAGCTCCCAGATCGGGGACCTGGGTAAACGACCCGCGCACGGCAGTAGCTCCGCTTCTTTCTGTCGCAGTACGCATCGCTCCTCACGTCGTTCCAGACACCGCTTCTCGCAAGGCCGTAGAGTCTCGCTCCGAGAATGTACGTTTCTCGTGAAGCCGTAGCCGCTACCCCGATTCTTACCATTACATGCCAGGCCTCGGTTTCGAGTCCGGCTCAGCTGGGCCCCCCGCCTCTACGCGTCCGCGAGTGCATCGTCCTTCCCCTTCTCCAGTTACCCACTTTGCGTCGCCCCCCCCCTCTTCTGGCCCAAACCCCCCTTTCCGGGCTGATAACCCAGACTTGGGCCACTTCCGGCGGGTTTCAGGCTCCCCATTTCTTTCGGGACCAGTCCGTGCCGGTCTCGGCCTTCGTTTCCACTTATAGTCCAGACTCTAGTTCAAGCCCCCTCTGGAACCTCCCGCGGAGGGGGCCGATGACGCTTGCGGAGGCCCCCCGAGATGCTGGGCGGGGAAGAGTGGTGGAGGCCGCAGCTACTGCTGCAGGTCGAACCCTACCTACCATACATGAATATATGCATGCATGTGCATGTATGTGTGTGTATATATTTGTGAGTTGGTCAACTCTCACACGCCTTTTGTCACTCGCCCCAGTCATCAATGTTGTTATCCCACAGGGCGTTTCTACAACCAAGACTTCTAAAACCGTTGTAAACTGCTTTGCACATGTCCGCTTGGACAAGCGTGGAATCGTAGCCTTTCGCCTTCAGCGAAGTGTGTTGGGCCTTATTCAGTCTAACATGATCACGTATTTTTTGCATTCCGAGTGGCAGCCACTTTCTTGCTTCGTTGACCTCTGTGTCCCTCTTGAAGGCTTCACATGCGGAAATCTCTACCGCGTACCTGTCCCCTCTGTAAAAACCAGAAAAGCGACGCCCAAAAAAAGCTGGGGTCACCAAAATAGCGTACGATCCCCAGGCGTCTGGGTAATTTCATAAATGACTTAACGGCATCTTTGGGGTGCAGTCTGTGCCAGCCTTTATCTGAGATGCCAACGTATTCTTGTAAACTCTGCGCCAGAGATTCGTAGTCACCGGTCTTTATACGTCGAACTATATCCTCCGCAGTGGGTGAGGCCCAGCTTTTTCGCCCCCTGCGGGGCAGAAGCTGAGGTAGGTGAAAGGCTCTGCCACGATGACTGCGAGCTGCCTTGCGAAGAAGCTTGTGATAAGCCTTCAGAAGTACTCTGTGAATACAATTCATATTCGTCCCTTTCTTCCTTGGCTTCTAGAGGCTCTGCAACTTCGTGCCTTTCCCCTATCTTGGCTTCCGGAGGCTCCGCATCTTCGCCCCATTGAGGCTCTGCATTTTCATCCCACTCCTCCTTCCCTCTCGAAATCGCCTTATGTTGCGACTAATCGGGCTCTTTCTGCCGCAACCCTCACACAAGTTTTGCGGACCTCAGATAGGCATTGGGGGCCCCGGGCTTGTTTTGCTTTCTCACGCCTTAAGGCATTGCCTCCGCTCGGCAGCGGCTGAAGCCGAACCCAAAGCCAGCAATGTGATCTCTGAAGCGGTCCCCTCACTGCCCTTGCCTTGCCTCCTGCCGTTGTCTTGGGGCGTGCCGCGAATGTGGAGCTTTGCATGATGGCGAGGCTGGTCGGGCTTTCCCTCGTGCAGAATCGCGAAGCGCAACCACCACCGTTCCTTCCTTCCTCATCTCCTTTCCCTCCGTCCACCCTTCGTTCAACCAGGACCAACCACCTTCGATGCAAGCACTCGCAAAGCCTACCCGAAAGACGGCCGGTGGGCCGGCAACGCGCCGACACCATGACGCGGAACTGAAGGCAGGCCCGTCTTCTCCCAAGCCATCGAACAGGGTTGGACGAGCACCAGCTCAGCCAGGGTTTATGCTTTGCGACTACAGCCGTAGAGATACAGGGTTTGGGAGAGTTGGGGCTTTCCGGGAAGTGGCCGCTGCAATCACCGCGGCCTGTTCCCGGCCCATTCCCCCGCCGTCGTCATCGTCGTGTCGTCATCGCCGCCATCTGAGACACTTGCGACATCTTGGTGCGGGTCGGTCGTTGTCGTTGCCCCAGCCCCGCTTCCGTCGTGGTGGGGTCGTCGTCGGTCAGCATCGTCGTCGTCATCGGTCGTCGTCGCCACCGCTGGTGTGGCCAATCGCTACCGACCCCGTCTGAAACCGCTGCCGCAGCTTTTGCCGCAAAAAGGCTGGATCACAAAACAGAGTGGAGCACGTCTGAGCTACGAGCCGATCTCAAATCGCGCCTCATCTTCCTTTCCAGCAGCTTTTGCTCTTCGCTCCTGCACAAGACAAAGCTTCCGGCAACCAAAGCTCCAAGAAACTTCTAGTGCCGCCGTCCTCCGCCGATGGAGCGGCGGGGCGCTTGGCGGGGTGCTTGCTTGGCGACATTGTAAAAATCTCTCCAGACTTTGAACCAAAGCACCGCGCAGCAAGGTGGCTCGGGGACATAAATTGCATTGAGACTTCAGGAAACGAGTACTCAAGGTCTTGCCGGAGCCAAGAACCGCTGTGTCACTTAATTTGCTTGATGGATTGCTTCGCAAGGACGAACCTGCATGGCAGGGTTGACAAGTCGCGGCAAGCTTTCACCACTTTCGGAGAATGAGAAGACACAAGTCCGAGAAAGACGATGTCTGCGCAAACGTCTTCACCACCCAAACAGCCAATAGGGCGTTTATGTTTCGGGGTGTGCTCCTTTGCACTTTGCACAGTCAGCCCAAATCGTGACAGTCGGAACGCAGCTGTCATCAGGTCTGCAGTTCCGACATGGGCTGGGTTCTCAAGGAGCAACAAAACTGCCAACAGTCTGCTGACATGCAAACCCACCAAACGAAGCCATCTCTTTGCAGGCCCGCGGGAATGTTGAGTTACGATGGACCACGGGCCTGATTAATTAGAATCGGTGTGTGATTACCACAATACTTTGAATTTATTATTTTGCATCACCATTGATGTGACGGGTAAGCACCTTCGATTGTCCGTTGGCTCGAAAACTGAAAGATGCGAAAATCCGCGAAGGCGGCGCGAAGCCAGACAAAAGGGCTCAGCCCAGCATCCTTAGCGAGGGCAGCCCTCCAGGCTCCCTGGAACTGGGGTCGGGCAGTCTGCCTCATGGAAGATGCCCACAAGTGCAGTGATGCCGGTAATGTCCACCGTCTCCAAGTACCCAGCAGGGCCCTCTTCGTTTCCCCACTTGTACTCGGGGTCGTTCACCCAGTCCGGATCCTCTGCTTCCTCTCCCAAGACGGATTCGAGGATGTCCTCTCTGCATTGCGGTACCGTGTGCGACTAAACGTCTGATTACATAGGGTACCAAAGAGGCCTACAATTTTGTAACGTCATGTCTCAAGACCTAGGCCCAAGGCACCACAGTGAAACACCTGAAAGCACGACACAAAACACACGGAACCTCGCAAACGTTGCCCAATCCCAGCGCATCCAGGAGGGCATCGGTTACCATCTCCTTGGCGGTATCCTGAGCTATCAATGACTCCTTTGTGCTTCACCATAAAGAAAAGGGAGATGACTTCTGACTTCTTCCCCACTGTGGGTCCTTGATCCCAGACTTGATGGCCTGTATGGCCGTCTTCTTCATCGTCTTCCTGCCTTGGGTCTTCAAGGAGGCAATCGCGGCCTTTTTCGCGGCTTCCTGTCACAGGGAGCCCAGAGATGCTCAGAGATCTGCTAGTGTGCTAGTGAAGCTACATGCATTCTCCTAGATCCATCGCATTATGCTGGGTTGCCCAACGTGGCAATACGGTACAGCGCATCCCCTGACTCAACATAATGCACACATTCAACTGTGCTGAATGACAATACAAAATGTCGTAAAACAGGGGATGACACCTATTCTAGCATGTCATCGGAGACCACGTTTCGCTGCCTTTCACCATGCTACGCCAACTGAAGCGGATCAGACATGACTCCAGATTCTCAATCCACACGGGGAACGATCGGGTGACAGCCTACGATGAGTGCACCGGTGCCCAACACTCACCATGTCGCCAACGAATCGTCTTGACAAACCCATGCTCGAGAACCTCTGACCCGAACTCGACATGATCGCAAGCTGGAATCTTCAATCCATCAAAACTCGGAGTGCTTGACTCTTCATCCACCCTGCTTGAACAATGCATAGGGGCGAACATGCAAGCCCTTGTTAATCCCGAACCCACTGAACCACCGCATTGGATGCAGCGGAGCCTTCGCTGCAGTGACCGCCGCCTTCTTGATGATCCTTCTGCTGGCGCCCTGCATTCCCTTCTTCGCGGCAGCCTTTTGTCCGTCTTGCCGAGTGGGAAGAAAGAGCCCAAAAAGAAAACGTAATCGGGCAGGCGAGCTTGCGAGGGCTTGCTAGCAGAGCCTTCATGATATAGATAGTATGATGAATGCATAAGTTGCCACGATTAGCATGTTTCAAAACCACCACGAGACCTATCATGGTTCCGATGTTTAGTCTTATGATGCTTATGCCTTTTGTGTTTCCTGGGCTTCTTATGTCGTTAATCTGATTTGTGTGACTGTCAAGCCATACTGGCTGGCCTGGTTGCCGCGTGAATTATAACTGTTTGATTATCAAGGCTTTTTGTTTCTAATTCTGTGTATTGGGCTTACCGACACCATTGCCATTAGGGTGATGACTTTGATTTGGTGTTTCCTTTCATGTGTTTAGGAGAATTGGATCATTATGATCAACGTTGTCGGGGGGATGGTGATAATGGTGGTGAGGATGGGGTCATCATGGTTATTATGAAGATACTCAATTATTTACCGGGCAAAACATTACGTATTATTGTCACTTTATCACTTAAGCCAGCTTTAACTCAAATCGCTTTCCTGGGCTCGTATCCCAATCGTGCTGCAAATGTATCATCCTGTTGCACAGAACCAACAGGCACCTAGCCAGCACAAACTCTTGGCAGTAATTGGCATGATAGGCTGGATTGCATGATTAGATAAGCAGACGTCATGAATATGGTAATGACCATGATGACTCTCATGCTTCTTGCTTTGTTCTTACTCCTATGGCGACGACTAACACTACTGCTGCGGCTGCTGCTGCTGCTGTTGCTGCTGCTGTTGCTGCTGCTGGTGGTGGTGGCGGCAGTAGCAGTAGCACTAGCCGAAGCAGTAGCGAAAAGGGCACCACGGCAGTATGCCGTGTAGCCTGCCTGTATTTATTCAGTTTTCAGGCCCCGACAGGCGGGCTTCACATGGCAGGCAGCAGGTCGGCACCTTCCCTGTTTGGCCGAAGCGTGTTCCACAGGGGCTGTGGGAAGTCGAGTTGCCCTCCATACTGGGATCCTCAGGACCTCCCACCCTCGGCCGCTAACGGATGCATTTCATATGCCGCCGACAGGACCACGGACTCTCTAGAGCTTGAGGACGGCGGGTTCGTGGGGCGACGTCTGGAACATGACCTCGGATGAGGCGTGTGCCATTGCTCCTGCTGCCATCCAGGACCTTGACCCCGCCGTCGGATGCCTCGCCCGCTTTCGAGCACTTGGCCTATCAGAAACGCGTTCGCGGCTACAGCTGCTACTTGGCGGATTTCGCAATGCTGATTCCAGAGCAACAGCTGGGGCGTAGGAGACAACACACCAGTTCAGATGGAGATAAAGGCCGTGTTCAGCGCACTTGTTCATTGGGTCGATCGGAGGTGGTGGACTTGATTTACGGCGTACAGCGCAGTACCTACAAGTTTCCATGGTTGGCCACCTGACTCACTTCTTTGGCCCGCGGACTCACCCTGGAACACTGCTTTACTGCCTGCACCTTGTCCGTCAACTTGCAGTCCTTCCCGCATCGCGATTTGGCAAACGGGGTGGGGACTATAAGTAATGTGACAGTGCCCTGTGGACATTGGTGCGGAGGCCAACTGTGGCAATCTCACCCCTGTCTTTCTGGATGGAACGTCGGGACCAGCATGTTTGGTGACACTTGGACGGCCATCATTCCATGTGTTGGACCCTCTTCCTGCCCGCATGCAGCATATCCATGGCACGATGGCGACAGGTTTGTTTTGGTGGCATACCACTCGCGGTCCATGGCGCTCTTGGTCGATGATCAGATGTCCTGGTCCTACTTGTTGCGTGGATTGGGCTTTCTCCCGTTAACAACTGGCCAACCGCACTCGAGCTCTAGGATCCGAGCCGAAGCACAAGGTGGCTGCACTGCAGACTCCAGTTGTGTACATAGTGTGCAGTGAGCGTTTAGTTACCCCAGTATGTTTCTGGCGGTATGCGGTGCACAATGCGCGTCGCACCCGTGACCCCGCGTACGCCTGGCCTACATGTCCTGTCGCACGGTTTGGGCGACGTGTAAAACGAAAACGAAATCACCACCACGACCACGGCCACGACCGCTACGACGGGAGAGCTTCACGGCTCTTTGAGCGTTCGCAAAGGATGCAACCGAACTGTTCCAATTCTTGCTAGCATCATGTATGCAAGCTTTTGCTTGCAGCCTCTCCAGGAGGACCCTGGTGAAGCTCATGCGGCGCCTCAGGCACCCTTTTCGGAATCGGGGTCAGAAAACCCGGGACCCCCCCTTTCCGGGCCTTCATGGCGGCCTTGGCTGCCGCCTTGGCTCCTGCTTTGGCCGCCGCGTAGCCTCCACCGGTCATGACCGCCAGGGCAATGTCCGCGGCCATCTCCTCAGTGTTTCACACACCGCTCTCGCTCACGCACTCGCACAAGGCACAAGGCACAAGGCAGAAGCAAGGCTCCACATGGCCTGGGTTTAGGGGCGGTTTGGGTTTTTGGTGGGCTTTGCCGGTGGTTTGCAGAATTTTCTAGGGTTGAGGTGGGAGGTGGTGAGGTTCTGCAGGATTCAGGGAATTCAGGGTTTAGGATCTTTCGCGTCAGCGATTTAGCGAAAGAGGAGACCCAGCTCTGAGTTTTAACGGTTTGGGTTTTAGACTTTTACTTTTACACCCAGAAAATCCTCAAACCCTCCCTAAACGCCAAACCCCAAACCCAAGCTGCCCGTTTCGGCTAAGCCTCGAAGATAGCAGCAATGGACTTCGCGTATTTCTCCGCCAAGACTTCGGTACATCTGCCCGGATGCACACCTCAGTCACTCCTTCCAACGCTTTCGTAAGAAAACCCTGAAATGGGTCGAACTTCAGGGCTTACGGGTCCAGGATTAAGGCTTAAGAATACCAATCTCGCTTCGCTCAGGATTCAGAAGCACCAACATTGACTACTCCTTAGAGTGCAGTGATTTGTCTTAGAGGTCCGAGACGGGGAAGTCTTAGGCCAACCGAGAAAACCTGGAAGTGAATGTACCATGTTCGTAGGATTCAAGTTCTAAAGGAGAACGCAAAACGAAAAGGGCAAACTTGTACTACCTGGGAAGCCTAGCCCCTTTAAGACTCTAAAAACCAAGCCTCATGGGCACCCTTTAAGCAACATATACATCCCATAACTACCCCACTAGACCAACACCTAAACAGTACAAACAAATCCAAAGAGAATGACACCCTAAGGACTCGAAACTGCAACCAAAGGGCCGAATCTATAACAAATCCTCTATAAACTCTATACAGAGAAACGAGGACTCCAAACTGCGACAAATTTGACAAAAGAATTCACACTTGGGAAACCGAGACCCCCCTCGCTTGAATATATGTTTGGACCTGAAAAGTACCACAATCTAGAACAGAGCAAAACGGCAGGAGCGTCGGTAAAGAGCACCTATTATCAAAATTACACATGAACCTGAACAACAAACCCTTATTGTACAAAATAGCCTAAACTTCACAAACCACATAAGCCCTAAACTCCCTGAAGCCTGCTACTGCACTCCAAAGGGCAGTAACACTCACACTTCTCCAGGCCGATGCCAGCACAATCTGTACCCCCGGTGGCCTGTTTTGGGGGGTTTTAGGTTTCAGTGCTTCTTTGGGGTCGTAAAGCTTGTCAGACTTAGGAGGGCTTTGATGGACTTTGCGCAGCGTTTTTTGTGAGGGTGTCTTAGGTTTTTTGTTGCTTCCCGCACCTAAGGCCATCTAGAGAATCTAGGGTTTGGGGCTTTCCGGATTTTAGGGTCCGTGTGGTTTTTGGAATTGTAGGATTGTTTGTAGTTTTTGAGTGCTTTTGGATCTTGCGCTTACGGTCTGAAGGGTTTGTTGTTTTGGTGCTCCCATTGCAGGGATTCTGTGCTCAAGTGCTCGAATATGCCCGGACGTAATTGACTCCCGGTCACGACTCGCTAAATTTTGCGAAAATGCCGGTGACACTGTACATGGCACCTCCAAATCCTTACAAGTTCTCGTTCCTTCAGCACTTCAGGATTAGAAAAGGCATCGAAAACCTCCGATACGCACAAACATTACGGGAGTGTCCTCGACATACCCGAGCTCAGACCCTTGCAACCTATTACCCTACCCTACACCCACCCAACTACACAACAGAGCTTGCCCGGCCGCGCAGTAGGCCGTCATCAAGCCAGGTAGAAAGTTCTGCATCTCCTACACAAAGCAAGCCATACATACATGAAGACTTGGCCCCACGAAAAAAAAATGAACTCAGCCTACATGTGAAAGCTATTGTAGAACCCTAAATAATAGGATTCTCGCACAAGGACCCAATCATGAAGGACCCCTAGCTTTCTGAACCACTCGTTTGGGCTTGGGCTCCGAGACCTTGAAACTACAGATTTTCCAGTTGAAAGGTTTCGGATGGTGCACATGATAGGTGTAACGCAAACTAAGAACCCTAAACCTCAAGTAACCCCAACCCTAGACTCTCTAGACACTAAGAAACCCTGAACTGTAAACCACAAGAAACCGTCAATCCAAATGATAGACTCTCTAGGAAAAAGAAGACGAAACAAGTGCTCCGCAGAGCTCACACCTTTATCAAGTGCATCTAACTAGGTTTACGGTTTGGGGTACTAACACAGGCACATGCAACATACTACATGCATGATAAGCACAAGGATTTCTTCGAACAGGAAGCAAACTTGCAAAGGCATTGCACAGGTGCTGTGGTCGTACGCTCACCGGGTAGGCGTATGACTTTATCCATCCTTGATGCCTCCTCAAACCTCAATCTTTGTCGGTTCTTTTTTGCATTGGTCCTTGAGGGAAAGGTTGCCGGAAAGTTGCAGCAGGCTGGCCTAGGCAGCTGGCGCTGAACAGGGCACCCTAAACCCCTAGACCCGCAACCGTAGGTGACAACGGCTCCGAAACCAGGTGCACGTCGGGGTCTTGGATTCACTGAAAGGCTTTCCGAGGGTTGTCGGAGTGCAAGGAAAATTCTTAAACTGCGCAACCGCAGCGTCTCGGCGTGCAGCTCTTGGGCTACACAAGCTTGAAAGCTCGTTCTTGGATCGGACTTGCGTACAGTTCACTGCGAACCAAAAGCGAAGATGCTAAATCAATGGTGTGCTATTGACTTAGTCACTAAGTCGGGTACGTGTGCACTCTTCCGTGCAGAAGCCTGCAGCATTCAGATCCTGCAGCTGTGACACCTACTCTGAGCACAGGATAGGAATAGTGTTCAAAGTCATGACTACAGTTGTAAAGACACAAGAGAGTCCCGAGCAAGTGATCCTCATTCCCTGCTGTCCAACAGTCAGGCTCTGCCGGGGAGCAGCACCGATTGCCGGGGGACTGAATGTAGTTAGAAGAGGCGACTCTCACCTGTATAACTGTATAACTGTATAAATGAATTTAATTTGGTTTTGGCAGGACTGCGGCGCGGTAATGTTCGCATGTACTGGGGGCATAGATGAAAAACGGAGGATGGATGGATGGATGGATGCATGGATAGATACATGGATGGATGGATAGATGGAAGATGGATGGGTTCATGCATGCATGGATGGATGCATGATTGGATGGTCTATTGTCTTTGTTCTATCCGTGGCTTTTAATTAACGCTTGCAGGATTTCTTTCTGTCCTCAAGGATAAGTGGAAGTTCTGAGCCCGAGGAGGACCGGTGGGGAGGCATACCGTGATATATATACAGCCGCAGCAATGCGATATTGAAACTCAGAAGCCGGCAACCAAATTCCTCCTGGGACCCACGAGCAGCGCTGAGGCCGCCACGTTCTTTGAAACATGGTCCGCCAAGGCGAGAAGATTGCTCGAATGAGGGCGCCTTTGGATTTGTTGGGGTGCTTTAATGCCGAAAAGCCCACGACAAGCACTCGGAGCTTACCTGACGGCTACTGCGTCAGAGCGTCTCTTCTCGCGTGAACTTCGTGCCCTCTTCGAAGAGTGAGGTCTTAGACCCATAGTCGGAGTGGCCAGGGAAGAGCGAAGATCTCCCTGTCATGCCAGCACGCCTCAGTTGGACATTGCCGGTGATCTTCTTAGGCATGGAATGAGTTGGTGGGAAGAATTGGGAAGACATAAAAAAGGCTGCTGCCTAGCGCTACTAGCGCCTAGCGGCCAGCAGGTGCCCGACGGCCTCAGGAGCTGATCGTAAACCGCCGCAGCTGACAGGCCCTCGCAAATCACGTCCTTGTTGTCACGAGCAAAACCCACGGCCTGCGAGACAGGAGCCTTGAAGTATCACCCTGCGAAGGGCCTGCCTAGGGGCTTAGGCTTGGCCCCTGGTTCTGGGACAAAATGACCAACACACACACACACACACACACACACACACACACTCACACACACCGTGCGCTGACGGGTGCGCCGACCTTGGTGACAACCTGCGAACCTGTCAGCGAAACTCCCGTCTTCCCGTCGACAAGGTCGCCGTTCGAGTTGACTTTGAAGACGTCGATCAGCCGAGTGCTAGCCTCTGGAGGCATTTCTCCACCAGTTGCAACTCCTGCAGTGCTCGGACCACGGTTCACCGTTGACCGGGGCTTGTGGCTTGCGGCTCTCGGGTGTCAAACAACCTTAGACAAGGGGCCGCACCACCATGGGTTCCACTCAATCTCGCCGTCGCAATTGAACTTGATTTGAAGCGTGTCGAAATAAAGGCCCCATGCGACGCTTTCCTGTGTCTCGCCACAAAACCTAAGCTGCTGTTGGAACCAGTTTGGGTGTAGCTCGTCTACATTTCCGTCGCATGAAAGTCTCTGCTTTCCCAGTGGCCAGTGAAGAGTTTTACCTTGTGGATGAGGCTCTGGAAACTCCCACTCACAGGTCTGGCCCTTGTAGCACCTCTTCCGCTCGCTGCCCACCTCTGCAGCCCAAGATTCTGCGGCTCACAAAGGCTTTAAGGAGCTCCCTCAATAAAGAGCCTCTACCTCTACACTGTCTACACTCCCTTGCAGCTTCTGAAGCTTTCATTTGCCGAAGACTGAGCCTCAAGCCGGCCTGGATCTCAATGTACTGCCTGCTTCGACACCGATCCACCGTGCCGTCGGCGATGGAGCAGCAGCCACGGTCCTCCCAAAGCCGTGAAAATGGGGTCAAGGGCTACCACATGGGAGCAGGAATTTGAAGTCATTACGATTGATGCAAAGCTAGACAGCGGCAGTAGTGGCCAGACTGCTACTACATCACGATGGCAGCGACAAGAAGAGAAACGTTAAAAACAACACACACGCAAAGACGGGAAAAGCATCAAGCAGGTGCCCGAGGGTCGCTAGGTCAGGAGCAGCGGAGTCAAGAGCACACAAGGTCGCTAGGAGCTAGGAACAAAGCCGAGCCCGAAAGCAGTCAAGAGAAGGAGTTTTGGGCAGCGACACCGAGGCGCAGCACTTCAAAGCAGCGACACAGGCAAGCATTTTCAAAGGTGCTCATGCGTTGTGTCTAGTACGCCTTCACGGTTTTCTAGTCTTGGGTCCCTTTTGAGGTACTCCAAAAGCAGGCGTCACTCTTGTGATGGAGCTGAAACCCTCCCCCACTCCTTCCCGCAATATGCAACGAGCTACAGAAGCATCTCATCTTTATATGGCAGAGCCGAGACAGTCGGACAGCAATTCGTCTTTTTGGCGCATGTTGTATAGTCTGGGGGAGTGGCATCGAAGTCCCATTCAAAAAATTATCAGCCCGTGTTGTTGCTGCGAAGGTTGTGGAATGCGTGCCGATACTCGCCGCTGTTGTCAGAAATGCCATCACCAGCGGCGAATCTAGCCGATAGAGAAGACGGTGTTTGAAGAAACGGGGCACGTGAAGCCCGTTGGCTTAAACATCTCAAGAAGTGGAAGCATTTTTCGGTGTCACACACACCCGCACCCAGGCCCACCCGCAAACCCACGCCCGTTCCCAACTCGGCCTGTCCCTGTTCCCGACTACTGCCCTCCGTCCGTTCCTGACTTGCTCCCTGGCTACGTGCGGCTGACTCGCCTCCCATCCCATGTACAGTCCGCAGCAACCCGAAGGTCTGGCAGTGTCCTTCGGCGACTCTCGTGGGGTGTACGAGAGTGGGGCGCAATACCTGGTCTGAGATGAGTCAGAAGCTCACATGCTCTTCATGCGGGTAGATGACGACACTTCGAAGCTCAGGCACTTGGGATGAAAGTTCAGCTCGCCCTCGTCGTAGTAGGAGTCTACGTGTGTGGCAGGCATGTTGAACCCGGTACGCTCGTGACCAACTCGTCGTCGCGAGCAATCCCAGCGAACTTCTGATGTACCTCTTGCATCAGCGGTCACCTTCACAGGAGGCCGTGTGCCATGTCGTCTGTAGCAGCTGTTAAGGGTCAATGTACAGGAGTCCTTAGATGGTTTAGGTCTTCTGTTTAGTTCAGAACACCCAGCCTGCCAATTCCGATGCCAATAACGATGGATCCAACCTGCAGGTTCTGACTTCATCCAGACCTGCATGCCGCGGCAACGATCCATGGTGTGATCGCCTGGGAGAGGCAAGGACATGACCATGAGTCCTGACACTCAGAAGCTAAAGATGGGGACCCGTTAGAAAGTGTGTTGGTTGCAGCCTCAAAAACATGCTCTCCCTACTTCCTTTGAAGCAATTCTGTTTTTCGGATCTACCGTATTGCAGTTGAAGAAAGCTACCACGAGGAGATTCACAATCGACAGCACGAGATCACTTGCCTTCAGAGTCATGAATTTTCTGGACTGTTGCCTTTGCTATAGGCAAGCTATTTCTGAAGTTGTACAACTTTCAGAAGTCACGGAAGTCGAACCAAAGCACCCTTGCAAGACGTGACAGCTGAGGAGCAGTTGCAGCATCCTGGCATGGTGGATGTGATCTTGCTGTCACGGATGGGCACAACCTTCATCCAGATGCTGCTGCTCACAGAACCAGCAGCTGCATCCTGGACCGAAACACGCCAGGAGGCATGTTAGAGGGCATCCCGTCCACTGTACCCACATTCACGCTCGTGCAACCTCAAAAACCTGCTCCTAGACATGTTCACATATCGATTCGCCCATCGGATCAGGATTCTCTCAGTCCTGGATGCTGCCGCTTAGGCCCGTCGGCGCCTTCCCATTGGGGGACACGGGGATCAAAGGACATGTGCACAAACACCCGGAGAAACATGCGGACGTCAGTTTGTTCAGCCTGCGAGGGGCCGTTGATGATCAGGAAGCGGTTGGCGGCGCTGTTGTGGAGCGCGATCGTGTTCGCCGCTTTAGGCATGACCTGAGACAAAGGCCTAGCGGGCCTAGTGGAGGTCGGACAAGACCTGGATTAACAAACTTGGGGGGCACGTGCAACCCACAAGCAATATGGTGTGCGATGTGCCATGAACACAGCCAGCAGTACAATCCAAAACAAACAATGCAAACGAAAGCAGACAAACACAAACAAACCAATCCAAAAATGGCAACATACTAACTTAGTACTAAGACTAAGACACGAACAAACCAACAAACACACGAACAAACATCAGCAGCTCCAACAACAGGCACAAACGAGCAAACACAAGTGCGAACAAACATAAACACACCAAAGTATAGACAAGCACACCTACAGACATGCAAAACACATAAACATTCGAATGGACACAAGGAAAACAACAAACGAATCAACTAACCAAAGAGAAGCACCAAATCAAGAAGCAAAAGCAAATAAACACAAACACACCAACACACAAACAACCAACTCACCACACATACACAGACATGAACGGACAAAACAAACGAGCAAACACACAAACGAAACAACAACAACAACAACAACAACAACAACACCAACACCAACACCAACACCAACACCAACACCAACACCAACACCAACACCAACAACAACAATAACAAGGTACAAACAAAAACTGCAGCCCCGTCAACCCATATATCTGCTTTTTGTCTGTACATTAGGTAGAGACAAAAACAAGAGCCCCGTCATGTTGTTTTACACCCCCCCCCAACAACAACAACAACAACACAGTGCCTGTGGATGCCTGTGATGTATACTGTTTGGTGTGTATTTTCAATGGATTTCGTCTGTATTTCAGTGGATTTGGTGTGTATTTCAGTGGATTTGGTGTGTATTTCCCTGGATTTAATGTGTATTTCAATGGATTTGGTGCGGAGTTCAGTGGATTTGGTGTGTATTTCAATGGATTGTGTGTATTTCAATGGATTTCGTGTGTATTTCAATGGATTTCGTGTGTATTTCAGTGGATTTCGTGTGTATTTCAGTGGATTTAATGTGTATTTCGGTGGATTTGGTGTGTATTTCAATGGATTTCATGTGTATTTCGGTGGACTTGGTGTGTATTTGGTGTGTATTTCAGTGGATTTGGTGTGTGTATTTCAGTGCATTTGGTGTGTATTTCAATGATTTTGGTGTGTATTTCAATGGATTTGGTGCGGAGTTCAGTGGATTTGGTGTGTATTTCAGTGGATTGTGTGTATTTCAATGGATTTCGTGTGTATTTCAATGGATTTCGTGTGTATTTCAGTGGATTTCGTGCGTATTTCAGTGGATTTAATGTGTATTTCGGTGGATTTGGTGTGTATTTCAGTGGATTTAATGTGTATTTCGATGGATTTGGTGTGTATTTGGTGTGTATTTCAGTGGATTTGGTGTGTGTATTTCAGTGCATTTGGTGTGTATTTCAATGATTTTGGTGTGTATTCTCAATGGATTTGGTGTGTATTTCAGTTCCCCGCCGTGCAGAATATGCATTTGCGAGGCCTGTGCAAACTACTGTATAGTAACTGGTAACTATAGTTTTGAGTGTACGGGTATCCAATGCAAACCCCTCAAAATTCCAGACAAGCCCTTCCAACACCCATCAGAACCCCTTCTGGATATCGCAGATTCTTATACCTGTGGTGGAAATGTGGTGTAATGTGGTCAAAACAACAGACGGGGCTCCAGTTTTTGCCTGTACTACAGGGGGTAGAGACAAAGTCCTGATTTCGCTGGTGCCTTTGTCTCTACCCCCTGTAGTAGAGGCAAAAACTGGAGCCCCGTCTGTTGTTTTGACCCCCCCTCCTTTTACAACAACCACCCAGCCTACACCGCATTTCTATCATGGGGCAGGCATGGCTTGAACTTCCCAAAACTCTACAGGTACCCTATGCGGTCGCCGGAAGCATTCCCAATTGCTTCTAATTAACAACAAGTACGGGCTGCTGTTTGTGTCTGTACCAACAACAACAACACAGTGCCTGTGATGTATACTGTTTGGCGTGTATTTCAATGGATTTGGTGTGTATTTCAGTGGATTTGGTGTGTATTTCAGTGGGTTTGGTGTGTATTTCAGTGGATTTAATGTGTATTTCAATGGCTTTGGTGTGTACTTCAGTGGATTTGGTGTGTATTTCAGTGGATTTGGTGTGTATTTCCCTGGATTTAATGTGTATTTCAATGGCTTTGGTGTGTACTTCAGTGGATTTGGTGTGCATTTCAATAATTTTGGTGTGGATTTTCAATGGATTTGGTGTGTATTTCAGTGGATTTGATGTGTATTTCAATGGATTTGGTGTGTACTTCAGTGGATTTTGTGTGCATTTCAATGATTTTGGTGTGTATTTTCAATGGATTTGGTGTGTATTTCAGTTCCCCGCTGTGCAGATTATGCATTTGCGAGGCCTGTGCAAACTATTGTATAGTAACTGGTAACTATAGTTTTGAGTATATGGGTATCCAATGCAAACCCCTCAAAATTCCAGACAAGCCCTTCCAACACCCCTCAGAACCCCTTCTGGATATCGCAGATTCCTATACCTGTGGTGTAATGTGGGCGGTTGTTGTAAAGGGGGGGGTGTCAAAACAACAGACGGGGCTCCAGTTTTTGCCTCTACTACAGGGGGTAGGGACAAAGTCCCTGTAGTAGAGGCAAAAACTGGAGCCCCGTCTGTTGTTTTGACCACCCCCCTTTTACAACAACCACCCAGCCTAGACCGCATTTCTATCATGGGGCAGTTGCTGTGTAAACCATGGCTTGCACTTCCCAAAACTCTACAGGCACCCTATGCGGTCGCCGGAAGCATTCCCAATTGCTTCTAATTAACAACAAGTACGGGCTGCTGTTTTTGTCTGTACCAACAACAACAACAACAGCAACAGCAACAACAACAACACCAACACCAACACCAACACCACCAACACCACCAACACCACCAACACCAACACCACCAACACCACCAACAACAACACCAGGAGCAGCAACAACAACACCAGCAGCAGCAGCAACAACAACAGCAACAACGACAACCACAACCACAACCACAACAACAACGACAAACAAGCAACCACAGCCAAAGAAAACCACATACACACATGCAAACAAGCAAGCAAGCAGGCATGCAGGCAAGCACGCCAACAAGCAAATAAACAACACAAGACGAAGACATCTTTCGTCCTTGTAACGGGCCGAGAGGCGGCAAAGCGCTCTTCGGAAGTCACGGCGGAACTTTGGCTCTTCTCGGTGCCTGGAAACGCCAGGAATCGCCAGGCCAGGGCTTCGGCTGCCCGGCTTTAGGGAGCCTACGCTCTTCCGTGCACAGCTCAGTCGACTGGGGGACATTTCCGCCGAAGGATCGGCATCTTTGAGGAAAACGATCCCGTAGTGCAACAACCACAGAACCGCTTTTTTGTGGCTTCTTCTAAGCAATCTAAACCGAGGCCGAGTTGCCACGCTGGACGGTCCCCCCTGAGGTCATCTTCACAAAACGATTATGAGCAGGGCAGAAGAGGGCCACCTGGCCGTCCCCGGCATCCACCACCTCAGTTGAAGGCGGGCTCAGACTCCAGGCTGCAACCAGACATGCGAAGACTTCAAGCACTCTGCTAATCTGAAGCTCGACGGATGCCTTTAGAGCTCCCTCGAAACAGAATCGAATCGGGGAAGTCACAAATACCTATCCAACTATGCTCCGTCCGTGGCGAAGAGGCCCGGACTTCAATGGTTCTTCGGGCTCAAAGGAGCTCGGTGCGCCGAGATCTAGGATACCCAGTCTGTCCATCTTGTCAGGATAATGCATATACCCACTGGCAGATAATGGATGTGGAATCGATGGAACCGGCTGAGGAAAGGCAGAGGCTTTCTGACATAATGGAATTGACAAGGCAAGTCACAAGGTCTCGTCACCGCTCCACATGCATGTTTTCAACCAGATCTAAGCTCAATCCGTCTCGAGAAAGGGAAAGCCATTTCAACGCTCTCAGCCCGGCTTTAGCCATTAAAGCTGTAAAGCTGTGGGTCTGGGCCTCTGGGTCAGGGAGAACACTGGACCCGCCTCGAACTGCTCCCAGGTCCACTCGTTCAAGATGCGACCCTCAGCCAGCGGCCCGTGCGAGTCCATGTTGTCTTGAGTCATGCCTGAACCAAAGAGGCGGAAAAAGGCTCAGCCGTGTTCAGCCCCTGGAGCCCCTGCTGGGAGCCCCTGGAGTCCGGGGGGCTCCGGTTTCCGAAAGCAACGCCAACACCATACCATCCCTTTCAACCATAGCAGTAGCTCTTTTGTGCAGCGCGATGTGTAGGGCGGAGAAACATTCCATCTCAGGCGAGCTGCTGGTGACAAGACTTTCGGTAATGAAACTGTTGACAGAGCGTTGTTAACGAGCGCTCAGTAGCAAGCCATTCGGCGACATGTTCTGTGCAGAAGCACCAGTGAAATCTTAAGAATCATTGCTTGTGACCCTGCCAAGCAGAAGGGGATTGCTTGAGGTATTCTTCATCTACTGCTTCTAACTATTTCTTCGACATGTGGGAGATTCCGAAAACAGGGGACCCTATTTTGGTACCCTGCATAGTAGGATCCTTACCATGGTGCAGTACCCCATATTTTCGGAAACTCCCATGTCTGCATCTGTCGCAGTCAGGACCTAGACCTGTCCTGTATCTGACAGCCGGGGACCGGCGCACCACCACATGCGTGTTTCAGGGTGTTTAGGTTTTACTTGTTTGGCGTTTAGGGTTTGAGGCTAAGGTCTATTTTCATCCATATGACTTCTCAAGCTAGGCATCTGACACACAGCATGGACCAAATGAGGGAAGTGAGCGGGGGATATGCGATGCTCCATAAATTTGTAAAAAGAAAGGTATTGGGAGTGTGTGGACAGCATTTCAAACTCAACTGCGGAAAGCCGCTGCTCGACCTGGAAAACGATACAAAACTGTTGTCCAAACAAACCTCCTCTTGTCGATGGTTCAATCAAGTTTTCATAGTGTTGGACGCGAGGTCAGCAAGCCCCAAGGTCGGGGATGGACCTTCCTAAACCCTAAACCCCTGACGCCAGATCTAAAGGCGACCCGGCGACGCAGGAGATTCTTGTTGCGCCAAAAACCCACCAACGAGCCCAGCTCCAAGTGCTGCGGTACCTGGAGCACTTGAACCCCCCGAAGGAGGGGCTTAGGCTTTAGGGCCTTAGGGGTTTAGCGCCTAGGGTGTCAGCACTGAGAACCAGTCAAAGCCAGGCAAGGATCCGAGACAGCCCATTGCGCATTAGCTCAGGGCAGCAAGCACAAGTGCATTGATCATGCATTTTGGGACAGATTTTGCGCTATCCCTCCAAGTTCTCTTCAGCCTCCTCTTTCGCGGTTGCACGTTCCGAAAGATTGCATGAAGGGTTCGGGGTTTAGGGGAAGGAGTCGATAGATGATAGGATCTTGCACTCTCGGGCTTGGGAGGCAACACTGCGCACGTCCAAGGCCCACCTGGAGGAGCTGGAAAGTCATGGACACGCTGGATTGGTCCGCCGGTACCGCGCTCTGGCAAGGGCTGCTAAAATGCGTCGTGATACAGGGTTAGGTCTTTACAATCTTGTTTTCACATATCTGCAGTGTTTGCCAAGTTGTTCAGGCTGTCTCCTTCTTCTTCCGTACCCTCTTGACGAGTCAGCACATCCAAACCAAAAGCCAATGTGCAAGTCAACACTTCTGCAAAGACCCATGTGCAAGCCCAGCGTCTGCTGATGCCTTCCAGGCATTGAAGCGCTTCTGAGTGGACAAAGAGGAATCAACAGGAAAAACCCCGGCTGCAAGGAGTAGACAAGTGCTGTAGCTTTGTACACATGTGCTATTGGCATGCTTAGCACGTGCATGCATGTACACTGAACACTACAATGGTGAACTATATCATAACAGCTGCTACTCACACTATTTCATACTACAGCGGCCGTAACCAAGTTTGATGACTTAGGTGTAACGTGTATGTCTGACAAAACATGCAAACCTACCAACTTGGTCACGCGCCCACCAGGACCCTGGTAGCGATGTGAGGTACGAATTGCAATATTGCCTAGGGAAAAAGCTAGTTTCTTAGCAAAATGGGTTTTGAAAACACCCTAAAAACTATTAACGACCTGAACCGACAAGTGAAGTTGAAGTATTGTAAGTTCTAAAATTTGCGGCCCAGGCAGGGAGCTCTGGGGCTCAAGGTTCTGGGCATCGTACACACATATGTAAGGGTCGCCGATATATGTTCATGCGTATGTAACTTGCTATGCGGCATTCATGACATATAAAGCATAGAAAGCACATACAACATAAAATTACATCAGAGACTTAAAAGGCATTCTAGGCACATACTACATTTAAGACACAACACATGCACAAGGCGGAGACTACATGGAACACTTCCGCAGTAAGTAAAATGCCTCATGAGTCTCTGATGAAAAGCATGTTGTATGTGCCTTCTAGGTCTTGAATGTCATGAACACTACATAGATCTCAGACGTTACATACACATGAACATTTGTCGACGACCCTTGCATATGTGTGCGACCCTTACATTTGGTGTGTGGTCGTAGAACGTCGTCACTGCCCCCCCCCACGCCCAGCCCACCCCTAAAGCATTGCTATCCCCGAAACCCCCCAAAACAGCAGGTTAACACCAGGGACCCGGCGCCTGCGCCACCAACTATAAATTCATTGAATATTCACACCTGTGATTGCACGTTTACCAGCACACACGAATAGAACCATGGCTTCTCAGCCAACATGCTTGTTTCTCAAAACCCAAATGAAACAGGGTTGTTAGTGGTGAAGACCAACGAGAGACGTTTTGGTCACTTAAAACTGTGTCTCTTCTTTGTTCCATGGAACGAATCTGTTGTTGTTCTGGCATCCTTGTTGTTATATCAGCTGCGAGCTTTATGTGTTTATGCTGAGTTTAGTTCATCTTAAGCCTCTGCATCATTTAGGCCCTGTCCGTCCTATCGATCCAGGTTTTTCATTGTTGAAACTGGAATAGAAATTTCGCACCTACGAGATGATGGCCACCAAGCAATCCTGTATGTTAGAATTTTGCTGTGAATAGCTGATCTTGCACAGGCTATGGCTCCTTACTACAAGCACCAGTTAATGCCAAATCAAACACATCCCCCCAATGCACACATGAAGCAAGATACTTAATAATGTCATACATTTACCTTTACGCTCTCGCAACGTACTCGGACAAGCCTAACGTTTTAGAATTAGAAGTGTGTAAGACCCGCCACAACATTTCCGTATGACACTAGTGTCCCCCTTGTAAGGTCCGCATTGATGAACAAACGAAGACAATCAATGCAGTGGTCTTCTTATAGTAGCATCCTTCAACAGAGGTAAGTATCTAGTTTTGCGTAGGACGACCTGTAGTGAGCAAGTACCTTACATGCATGTTCAATCACATGGCAGAAGTACATATTTGTGCCCAACAGCAGCTTCGTGTTGATTCCATTCAACCCGCAAAATTATCAAACTAGTGATTAGATCTACTGAATTTCGACTCATTTAGACTTGCAAAGGAGGCAGTATCAATCTCCATCAAAATCAAGATGAAACTTGATTCTCATAGTTGTACAGTGCCGTTGGTCTTGAACAAGCCAAGGGTGAACTAAACAAACTTGTGGATGTCGTTAAGCCGCCTTTGCTGTGCTAGTTCAGCAATAGACGTGACGGGGCTAACCATGTCAATGACAAGTGCATGATAGGGGAAATGCTTTCTCAAAATGTCAAGAACATAGGAGCATGGTGGATATGCTGCATCAGCAGCGACAGTAACACGAAAAAACAGGATGAAGCATGTACAATAAATGCCGTGTTCTGATGTGGAAGAGAAGTGGAAACGGCGCGTATTCAAACGGATTGAAAACGTATTCAATTGTTCAAGATTCACGGTGCAAGGCAAATTTCTCCCGCGCACCTTGCATCTTGAATCCGAGGCGTATTCAATTGAATACCTTTGAATACGCTCAGTCTTGACCCCGGGCTAGAGCTTTGTACTTCAAGATGCGGAAGAAATTGTCGATCCACAGGCGCACCCCCGAACCCAATAAAATAACCCACGGCGTCCAGAAGCTGAGGTTCAAAAAAACAGGGGTGGGTAACGACGCCTTCCCAAAGCTGAGATTTAGAAGAAAGGCGTGGGCGCATGGGGGTGGGGCGGGGGCCGGGGGGGGTACGATAAAAATCTACACACACACACAGATACATCACTATATATATATCTACACACACACACACGCAGACACACACACACACACACACACACACACACACACACACACACAAACGCAGACCCACCCACACCCCTCTCACTCTCTCTCCGTGCTTCAGTCTCTGTCCCTGCGAGGCCCGAACATCCGAGTTTGTGAAGGAGAGGTAGCGACCGCGTGTTGGCGAGTACAAGCCGAAGAGCCCATCCTTTGCAGGTACCGCCTGGAGGCTGGAGTGAGGCCGAAACGAAGGAAGGGATAAGGGTTTCTACTTAAGACTTAGATTGTTTGTGTTTCCCTTAGGGTCTAGGCTGGGAAGTCCAAGGTCAGGGTTTCCACTTGTGGGAAGTGTAGTTCTCATTTCGATGCCCCTGCTCAGCTTGAGATATGGGGGGAGGGTCACTTGTTGAGAAACAAACAACTGCAGGAGCGGTGTGCTCTCCTGGAAATCAATGTCAGATGCGTAACATACGAGGTGTACTGTTGGGTTCACACTACAAGTGAGGCAAACAGCAATCAAAGCGGCCGGAATCAGAGGCAGTCGTATCTCGAGAGACTCAATACAGGCTTTTGGGCCTGCTCACGCTGTCCATGTATCATTTCGCAATTTCCGTCATGGGCGGCCCTTCCAACCTTGGAGAGAAAGCTTAAAGCCAGCGGGGCCTTGAATCTGCTCTCGGTAGGCGGAGTGCTGGTCGCTGCCATGTTCGCACCTGGCACACAGGAATCTTGATCGCGATGGGTGGGGGTGCTACGTCCCTCTCAGGATTTGCGATCCTCCTCAAAGACAAGTGGCGCGACGAACACAGTGCCTCTGCCATGAACTGCCTTTTAATGTGCTGTGTCGGAAGCTCCACGGCTACAACTCCAGGCGCATGGAGATGATCACCATTAAGCATGCGGGAACCACTGCAAGAAATCGCGGAGGAACTGGTCATCCTGCGCTTGGCCAAGCGAAATCATCAGGGCGCCCAGTCGTCAAAGATGTTGAACTACGTGATTCGGGGCTGACTGGCTTAATGCCTAGGTCTTGATGAGACGCCGAGAAAGAGAAAGAGAGAGCTTCGGAATACTTAGGGTACCCGTATAGGGTATTTGATCTTGGGATTGGGGGTCACCGCCACACCGTTGTCCAACTGTTCGGAATACCGACACGGTGGCCTACATAAAATTAGACGAGGGCGCGGCCAATATGTGGACGATCCGGCGCTTAGACTTTCATGATCACCACCCCTTTTGACTAACAGTATGGTACACCGATCTCTTGATTAACATGTAAGATCTAAACGAGGGGATTGACGCTAGGACAGTCGTGTCTTGAAGCTCGTCACCCTCACTTGGTATATGGACAGTTGGCGTTTATGCAACATCTTTGCGCAGTAGCACCCGAAAGCCCTAAACCCGTATCCCGACGGCCCTGAACCCTAAATCCCAAATTCCTTCTTGCTGGAATGCGTCCTCAGGTAGCAGTTGAACCTCTGGCTGTGCAGCGCAATCAATCCTGTTGTGGCGTCCACCACCTCAGGGCGGGGCCCCTTATGCCTGGAAGGTTTCGGCACTCACACTCGGACAATCCGGGCGAGGCATATGGTTCGAGGTCTGTTGAGACGTCCAACTACTTGGGAGTTGACATAGCGACGAGACCATCTTCTGGGTTTATGTTCTCACAACGAGAGCCAGGGGAGGTTCTCATCTTCCGGGTTTCAGCACTCACATTCGGACCATGGCGAGGATTCTGGTGCGACGAGCAGCAGATTGGCCCAAGGAACATAGCACATTGGCCATCTTCCGGGAGTCCGAGTTTAAGCTCTCACAACTCGGACATGCCAGGCGAGGTTCGATAGTCCGAGTTGCGTCTTGATGCACTTCTCGACTTGTTCGTTTGGTGTTTGGGGTTTAGGGTCACACTTTGGTGCCGCAAACACAGTGAGCGAATCTAAGCCCTTAATTCTGTCTGGATTTAGAAGAATCGTGATGTCTTCAGACAAGCCACAGTGAAGCGCTGGTTGATCCAATCCATCGTCACGTCTTTGTGAATCCTGCTGCGGCATGCTCAAAACGACATCCTAAACCCTATAAACCTCAGACTCTATAGGTGATAGAAATCCTACAAAGATCCGGTAAAGCATGCAACTACATAAGACACTTTCACAGGCCCTGACCGTGTAAAGACCCTATGAAGACCTAACTAAGGCCCTGTAGAAACTCTTCATAAACGCACATCCTGAAGAAAGAACCCTTTGCCACACCAAGGCCCTTGTAAGCCCCTTTCTCTGTCAATGGTCCTTACTAGAATTTTGGACTCTCGCCACTCGGACAACGTAGGATGGTTCGCGTCGGAAGGCGAGCTCGCCGGCTCAAGTCGGGTAGATACTAAGACAGCCCCACAGCTGTCCACAGCTTCTAGAACTTCAGGGTTTCGGCATAGAATATAAGAGCCCTCATAGGGGTTCTTACGGTTCGGTTTAGGCTTAGGGTCCAGGGTGTAGTGTAAGGGCTCTTATCAGGGGTTGAAGTAGTGTAAGGGTTCCAGAAAGGCTGCAGAACCTACGGAACTCTCCAAGCGATCTACAGATATGTTTGCCAGATCCAGGAAAGCTTTCACACATTTCATGCCGCGAGAAACCCAGAAAATCAAGGGATATCAAGGGACCCATAGCTAGCGGCAAGCAGCCTACAGCCTTTTACCTACACTCTAAGCCGCTCCTGGCGGCGAATCCCCAAGGCTGATTTGCCAAGATTCCCTTTGCTCGAGGAGATTTGTCGGCCAGCGAGGTTGCCTGAATATCCACGCTTTTGGGAGCTGGGGGAGGAAGGGAGACCTGAGACGAAAAGAAGCCCTTCAAAATGGAATCGGCCTATACGAGGGTTGTGTGGTAACTGGTAAGCTGTAAAAGACAAACCCCAAACCTCAACAGTGAATTTGAAGTTGGATGAGCCCCCGACAGGAAACCCTCCCGAAACCTGAGTCGAGCAGCTCATAAAGTGCTTGAACTTGGGGTTCCAGAGCAGGATCGTGGAACCTATCTGCACGCCACCTCGAGCTGTCCAATGTGATTAGGATAGATTGAGGGGAAGTTCTCGGGCTTACAACATATCAAATCTGTAAGCCCAACTCCGGCAGATCGCTTCCATGATGCATCGCGGGGTCGTAGCAGTAGTCCCAGTCTTTCTCACCCGTTCCCGAGCACCCGGGCACAGGCGTGAAGCCATTCCGCTGGAAGCACTTTAAAGTCCCCGCGCAGTCTGAATCATAGTCGCACTCGCCGGCACATCTGGGCATGTTTGGAGAACCGTCCACGCCGCGGCTGCTGTCCAAGGGTGGTGGCAAATCATGGACCGGATCATAGCAATAATCCCAATCTTTTTTGCCGACTCCTGGGACTTTCAATAAGGAGGGAAAGGAGACACCTAGTACCCTAGATTCCCTAGATGAGGGGTAGTTTGTAAACCTCCATCCTGTGCACCCGGGCACGGCCGTGAAGCCATCCCGCTGGAAACACTTCAAGTTCCCTGCACAGTCTGAATCCTTGTCGCACTCGCCAGCACATTCAGGCATGTTTGGAGAACCGTCCACGCCGCGGCTGCTGTCCAAGCCATGTTTGTCATAGCAATAATCCCAATCCTTGTTGCCCACTCCCGCGCACCCGGGCACGGCTGTGAAACCGTTGCGTTGGAAGCACTTCAACTCCCCTGCGCAGTCGGAATCGCGGTCACACTCGCCGGCACATTTGGGCATGTTAGGAGAACCGTCCACGCCGCGGGTGCTGTCCAAGGCTTCCGGGTTGTAGCAGTAGTCCCAACCTGATTTGCCATCTCCCCGGCAACCGGGCACGGGTTCCAAACGATCCCGCTGGAAACAAAGCAAGCCTGATGCACAGTCTGCGTGGCTGTCGCAGTCACCGGCACATTCTGGCATGTTCGCAGAACCATCTTCACCAGGGCTGCTGTCCAGTAGTGGATCACCTGGCCCCGTGCTTGCATACTGCAGGCTGCGGCCAACACTGCAAACCCGTACTGCAACCGCGACCCGTTCAGAACAAGCACTTACCGCAAGATCATTCCAATGGAACACCTTTCGGGGACTTCTGCCACTTCAAGCTTCAACAGACTCGCAGAAATCACAAACAAAAGCAGGCCAAGCTGCCGGGTTTGTTATATTCGACCATGTAAGCTTTCGCGATGTCCATCATTCTGTCAATGTCACTCCACCCGCCCCACCAATGGTTGGAGACCGACGCCTTGTTGAAGTTGACAGTATCAGTGCGGCTTTGAACGACGCCCCCAATCACCTGGATAGTTGCTGTGGAGCTAGCGCTGACTCGCTATGAAGGGGGAACCTTAACTTTGTAGTTCCTACCGGCATACATTCGAGCTTTTTTATGAGTGCGTATCTGCTTCTTAAGTCTTAACAGTAACCCAGTCAGTGTCACCTTGATGACCATGCGGCTGTCGCCCCATGCAGAAGGACAGGATGCCATCTTGGACGTTGCATCCGTCAGCGCATTATATCGGCCCACCATGTCTGTCTTGCAGACTACGATGTACATGGTACTTGACATCGATGCGCCAACCTCAATCTTGCGCGTAACGCTTACCCCGGCCTATTCCAACAAAAACCCTCTCCAGCCCAGAGTCTGTCTGCAGGACGGCGCTGTCTTCATTGGATGCGGAGTTGTCCGTACGTGCCCCGCCTGCTAATCTTGCTGCTGCGAGGGTTCTCTATCCGATGCAGACACCTAATCGCTTTAGTTTTTGTCGCAAGCAATGTGCCTCAATCCAAAACTGCCAAAAGGTCTGCAAGCAACACTGTTGATGTATGTTTTGCCTTTGCTGCATACGCTGGTTCGGTGGGCCTTTGCTCCATTGCTCTGAAGCAACCTTGGCGCCAGCTGCCAGCGCCGCGAACCGGAGCGAAGCGAATAGAATCCGCATCGCAGCCATGGCAGCCAGTGGCAGGGGTGGGACTTGAAAGTTGACCTTGAATCGTCAGCTTGAACAGATTGGCATCACAGGAAGACAGCGTCCCACAGAAGAAAGAAGCAATGAGGCAATTCAAGCATTCGCAGGCTTGCACGTGAAGCCAGGCTCTTTAGAGTACCTTTTGCTTTTGTGTGTAAATCCCCAGAAATCTAGGCTTGAACGGTCACGAAGCCAGGCTTCCTTATACATTATACAACTATTGGTTGCCTTGCAAGTTTGAGCAAAGCCTCACCCGCGGATGACTGTTCGCTTTTTGCCACAATCCGCAGGGCAATTTGCAGATTCTGCATAGCGCACTGCGAGCAAGTGATACGCACAAGTACTTTAAAAACAGCAGCAAGATCTTCATTCTCTCTCTCTCTGCCCTGTGGCCCGCCTGCCTCATTCTTGTGCTGCGACGATTCTCTATCCGGAAACGCATAGTTACACTCCCTTTCATCATCGCCACGGATCAGTGCAACAGGGTGTGAGCAGCCCTGTCGGAATAGTTTACATGCTGCTTCGCAGCCTTTGCTCCAATTATCTGAAGAACTTTTACGCTAGCTGTGAGCGCCGCAAGGCGAATCAGAGCGAGATAGCTTGGCAGCCAGTGCACGCAGGCGACAGACTCAAGACCATAAACTGGAGTCGGAAGATCAAGTCCCCAGAAAATGAACGAAATCAAGCATTTCATTCTCAAGGCAAGCTGACAGCAGAGGCAGCTTACCCCAAATATTGTGATAACTTTGTTCTCGGCGGTGTGCAAGACTTTCGCTGTAATGTCGTGAATGAGGAATTAGGGCTCTGTAGAGTATGCATAAACGCAATAGATTCTTACCAACCAAACCAAACTGCAGAAATGGACTTGACCAGCTGTGCACTATACTGTACTTTCCCTAAAATCCTGACCAACTCGCGCCCTTGAAACACCAGAGAAAGGCCGCCCCACCCCCCCACTGGCGCATCTTTTCTGTCATCTCCAGGCACCAAGTGCTCTACTCCACTGGCATGTACCAGTCAGGCAGCTCTCCTTGCGAGAACAGCAGAACAAAAAGAACTTCCTCATGGCGCTGCTTGAAACCTAGTAGCTCAATCAAGTAGGAACAAGAATGCACTTGGGGGGTGGGGGGGTTGATGCCTTGACACCCGAATGTCTTTCAGGGGACAACCTGACTGTTGCTCTCTAGGCGCACATGCACATCGGCAAGTGGTGGGTTCACAGCATGTTCTAGTCTAAATCATGAAAATAGCTTGAAGAAGCAGGTGTCCTCCTACAAGTGTGGCCTTGTCAAAATCCTGAAACATTCTCGTTTTCAACCCTTAGCAGCCTTAGCCATCTGCCATTTGATGCTGGGTGCCTTTGTTGTTGCAGATGGTCTGCTGCGCAGAGGCCCAGCTGCCCTTGATTCGGTTGACCTGACGGCGGCATGGGTTGTGCCTTTGTTGGGAAGTCTTCGAGCTTAGTGCTTATAATGCAACGAACCGAGCAAATTCGTCAGTCACCCTGGTAACAGAGACCCAAACTGTCGCACCTCTGGTGACCTCTGTAGCTCCAGTTGCCACTTCAAGGATACGATGCTGAATCGCACTAGCATACACAAGGTCTGTGTTGTCATACAGCGGATTGCCTGAACTAGGATCAGGTCCATAACGGCGGTAAACACAAGCAGTCGTCCCAAAGGCTACACCCAACAAAAGGATTTGTGGCGTACCTAAGACGGCTGTGAACCACTGCCCGCTTCCACAAAGGTCGTCCAGCTCCAACGCACTTGCCACCCCTGATGTCATGTCAGTGGAGTAGAACCGGACGAGGAACGGATACGCCCACCAGCATTGCTCGGATGATTACTTTCCGTGGCAACCACCGTCATGTGCTCCACTGCCAACCACACTTTAGTGCATAAAAGGAGCCGTGCTCCCCATGAGCTCGACACTTGGAGCGGGTAGTCCGGATACTGCAAACCGGTGGTACAGCATCCTTGCACAACCACGAGCTGTCTTTATCTCGCTTTTTAGGCGCAGGTCTGACGGTTCAAAGGTGTTGGTCAGTCTCTGCTACTACTTTGATTCATGGTCACCCTAAAGTTTGTGAAGTAACAGTGGATGATATTGCACGCTTACATTCGAAGGCTGCAGAAACCGTGGAGCAGAAACTGACAGCATGAGGGCTACGCAGGGCATGAAGCCAAACACAAGGGACCAAATTCTAGGGTCCCATACAACTGTTTTTACGAATTGCGAAACACGAGTGACTGCGAATCATCCTCGGCATCTGCGAAATAACTGAACCCAATTGCTTTGAAGTGCTACTTATGCTTCATGCTCGCGCTGCGGATGCTGCTGCAACTACTAGCACTCCCAGGGCCTACTCCCTGTCCTACCAGTGTCCTATCAGATCACTGCACTCGGGCTGCTTCATGCTTCCCCCAGGTGGCATGACCATGGGCTCTGGCCACAATGCGAAGTGCTTGCAGCCATAAAGACAACTTACTATAAACTGCAGCACCTCAGTTCTGAGTAACAAGAGCGGCAGTTGCTACTCATCACTAGACCGCAAGCCAAACGCTGTGCCTGATTCCGACATACGAAGAATGAACCGGTTCCTCATTGCTGATACGTCAGCAGTAATCCTGAAATCCTTGTCCGTGAGACTCCAAACCGCTAACTCATAAGCCCACGAGCCTGGAATCCGCAACATGGAAATTTCGAAGGTCCCCAGCATGTCCGGGAATATTGATGAAACTAAAGCTGTGGTCCTCATACCACTTGTGGCGTCGCGAGCTTGTAATAGCGTCTGGAAGGCTAATGGAGACTGGCAGCCTGCCCGTGAATGGAAGGCTGTGCTGCTGGCGATCAGCTTCATTCTCGTTGGAACGGCGACAGCAACTGCTACGACAGCAATGCTTCTTCCTCCTGCTGCTACTACTAGTACTAGTAAACTAGTACTACTACCATTGAAGATCCCGGTGTGCTCTTTCATGCTCCTTCTTGCACTGCTGGCCGCCTTCTTGTTGCAGGAAGGTTACAAAAGCCTCGCCATCCTCCAGGTGGGAAGCAAGCTCGCCTCGGAAGGCAGAGCCAGGGCTTCGGGGAGCCGGGCCGGGCCCATGTTTTTGCTCATCTCTGCACTTCCATCGTTTCGTTTTTCGGGCCCTGCCAAAAGGTCGCAGATGGCCTTGAGGATACCTTACGTTATCTCTTCGAACTCGAGGCAACTCGAGGTGCAATGCTGTTGGTGTACATGCTAGAGGCGGCCGTTTATCGATTCCGAGCATGCGCAGACCTGAAACCTGTTCGTCCTCCAGCCCGGATGCACACCTTCATTCCATCTAAACGCTGAAGGGGTCAGCACTCAAGAGTCTACAGTCCAACTCCCTACGTCCGACATTTGCACCTCTTCTTATCTTCACAGCCTTGCAAAACAGAGTGGCGCATACATATCTACTGCGACACTAGGAGCGCACGCCCCGAGCAAAAACCCTTTCTGCCACCACCTGACATTCTGCGAAATCCGAAAACCCGAAGCCCAAATCCACCTCCTGCTGCAGATCCCGTGCTTGTTTTTTGAGTGCAGCTCTAGGGCCGAGCAGGTTGGAGACGTGTCGCCAAGCCTTCTTCAAGGACCTGAAAGAAGTCAAAGCAGAATGCAAGAGGAAAAAGCACATCTTCGAGTTTTCCAGGAGGGACTCCTGCTACTGCCCTCAGTTTCCTGCGGCTTCCACCACAGCATGCACTATGGTGGACGTGATGATGGCTGCACTTTCGGCTCTTAGTCCCACGGGCTGTCTGGGGCTGCTATGTCTTTGTTGGGTGCGCCCGGCCTGCTTCTTAGCAGAGCGCCGTTCCGTGTAGCCAGGTCATGCATCTACAATCTGCAACTATGCGCTCTGACCGTCGGTTGCCCTGCATGTCAATCTTGTCTAGCCTATTATCATGCGGGAGGCGCGCGAGTCTTATGAAACAAAGCGTCCTGACGCATATAATCTCGCTGCCCTGCAACTATCTTCAACCGGAAGCGTGAGCGGTCCAGCTGTGGTACTCAGATAACGTTGCAGAGCTGAATTCCATCTCCCGCCATCTGGAGCGGACTCCCATCGGGTCTTACCGCTTCTGCCGATCTCTGCAGAGCGTGCTGCAAACGTCATGGATTCTGTATCCCAAGCAATCCTACTGCAGATGCTGTCATGGCGCAATCCTCCTAGGTTCGCATGGAGTCTGACTATGAAATGCCCCACCTGTGAGCCCGATCCGTCGTCGCCATGGTCTGCTTGTAAATAGACAGCAGGCTGGTGAAGTCCATGGCACCTGCATTCTGCCCGGATGTTGCTGCAAAGGCAGAGCTCCCAAAATATGGAAAGGGAACCAAGAATCCTATTGTGGTGGCTTGTGGCTTGGCTTGCATGGTCGCAGAAAGCCGGAGCACCAGGGCAGCGGCCTTGGCCCGACAGTCTGCGCCCCCATTTGCCCCACATAAAGCCAAGCCACACTGCTCGTACTGCGACAGCGCGTGTGACCCGGCCTCGTAGCCTTGCACCATGTATCTTGTGTCACGTCGTCATGTAGTGGGGCTCTTCAGTCTAAACTGTGGCCACCGAGCCGATGGTTTGGACGGGGTAAGCAATGGCCTTTAGAGAGAGATAGGACAATCTTGTGACTCTTAGTCATTCCATCGGGGCTTTACGATTCAAGTACTTCGCTCTCATCGCCAGTACTGCGATTGTGCGGCCAGCTTCACATTGAGCAACATCAGCATGGCATCTTGTCGTGATCGTGCGTGGAAAGGTATCAACACCATGAAGCACTTCTGCTTCTGACTGTACATATTTCTGTTGCCCATGTAATCAAAGGAAAGCCTGCAGCCAGGCTCCTGTTACCTTGCCTGCAGGTTTTAAAATGGCTGTATATCGTCGTATTTCCTGGATGCTGTTCAGCTGCTGTCGATCTCGACCCCTGCGTCTTCCATGTAGTCGTCCAGCACATTGCGAATCTTCCACCAAACACCTGATGCAAGTTGGAGGGTCTACTAGGGTTAAGAGCCATCGTGCACGGCTTGGAGCTGTATGTTTAAAGCCATGTAGCACGTCAAGTCTAAACAGTTTGGGATGTGTCAAGCCCCAGATGAGAGGCTCGAGGGCTCATGGAGGCTGGGGAACTTGGCACAACCCACATCCCCCTGGGTGCTATTTGCTACTCCACAACAAGTGTACAAAGATTGGTCACGCCCATCCTCTTTCTGCAAGAAAAAACTGCCTGATAGCACATGCTGAAAGTCCGTCACGACAAAAGTGGAGTTTCATCGCAGGTGCAGGGGTGGCGTGATTTGTGGCTTTCGTCAGTTTGTTCATCACAAGTCATAAAACGACTCTCTTGACCCCTCAGCTGCTACAACACGCAGATGTGTAAGCCGCAGGCGGTCCAAGTCCAGAAGCATTGCGTGGCGCTCGGCTGCCGTTGAGGCAACGGCAGCTCCCCTGCGTGTTCGTGCAAACTACCATCAGCACCCATGACGGCTGCTACTCCTGTTGATGCCACGGCCGCGACTACTACTATTGCCCGGTTTCCACGATTACAGCTGCGCTTCTTCTACTTGACCGCCACCGCCACCGTCACGGTGAGTTGCGACATCAGCAACAACAGCAACGACAACGATCGATTGTGATCGTTGTCTTTCGGACTACTACTACTACTACTACTACTACTACTACTACTACTACTACTACTACTACTACTACTACTACTACTACTACTGCTACTGCTACTGCTACTGCTACTGCTACGGCTACTGCTATACTACTCCTACTACTACTACTACTACTACTACTACTACTACTACTACTACTACTACTACTACTACTACTACTACTACTTTTACTACTACTATACTACTACTCCTGCCACTACTCCCGCTGCTACTGCTACTTCGACTACTACGACTACGACTACGACTGCTACGACTACTACGACTACTACGACGACTACGACTGCTACTATCACAACTACCACGAGGACGACGACGACCGCTACTGTTTTCGATTTTTGAACCCAGACTCGGATCCCACTGCTGCTTCTACTACCATTCCCGTGTCATTACCATAAAACTGCTGCTGCCGCAACTGCTGCAGCCACAACTGCCAATGCTCCTCCTTCCCTTCCTCCGCGCCGGCAGCGATAACCACGACGACCATGCATCGAGAACGACGACGACCCCAGGAGGATTGACAACAAAGACGGCAGGCGAGATAGACACATACGTCACGTGCCTGCAGTGTAAGTTTCATCCTGTTTTACGCTCGTGCAGGGGCGTCCTCACACCCACCACCCAAAGCGTTGAGCCCGTGTAGCGGGCGAGCCTGCGGAGCCGAACAGCAAGCAAAACGCTTTCTGCGATCTCTCACACCCCACCCCATCTCGGCACGAGAGGGGCGGCCGCTGGGAGACAGCCGGACTCTGCGGACCCAAAGGCCAGCCGGCTCTGAACGACCACAGAAACACCAAGATAGCTGCTACCGCTGCCACTGCGTGGACCGCAAGTTGATCGCTTGTTGCTGGGGTTGATGGATCCTGCCCGGACGACCCCGGATTTGGGCTGACGACCACTTCATGACATCCTACTCTGAACCAATTCTTCATCCTGTTGGCCATTGTCAGGACACTGCTGCAAAACACAATCCACATACCACTCCTCATAAAGCACCTCCAGCAAGCCCAGTGTTAAGCTTGATCAAGCCCTTCTGTCTGTCCGGGAGGGAGATCGGCCTCTGTCGAGCCATCTCACGCGTGGCATTGCTCCTCCTCAACAATTAGGTCTCGGGACTTTGGATACGGTTCCGGGAAGGCTTACTGGCCATGCACTGCAGGAGCTGGCTGGCGGTCTTTGGGTGCAGCCTGTGTTTGGGAGTTGAGGGGCCTGGGTATTGCCTCCGAAACATGGTGCAGCAGCGTCCCGGCGGTTGAGATTTCGAAGGATTGTGAATCACATGTCCCTGCACAGTCGTATAATCCCTCCACAGCGAAGTGTGACAAAACAAAACCGTATGCTGCTGGCACAACTTCGCACACAAACGCCACAGTACCTTGTGTGTTCCGAAGTCTGTAGCATCGTTGGAATTGCTGGGCCCCCAAAGCCGTAGGCCATACTTGGGACCATTGAGTTCGGATGCTAAGACCTACAGAAAAGCCCTGGTACAGTTTCTCTTTTTGATAGGCACAAGCTGCGTAGCCATAGAGCTATTCCAGCTACTTCTCTGCTGCCTGACGTGTATTGCCATGATCAACTTCTAACTATAGATGCAAGGTGGTTTGGCAAGCTTGACCCAAAGCCACGAAGCTTTGAAGCCACACTTGAAGCTCAAGCGGTACACCTGGATTTCAAATCCCAACCTTTGCAGCCAGAGATTGTAAGCTGTGAGGTGCAGACACACCTCATTCTACATCTATAGTCAAGCTGCCGGCGGTAGATTCCCAGCGTCTGCCGTTGCAGCTTGAGCTGCTCTTGCCTTGTTTGCCCAAACAAGCTTTTCAGCGAAGTGACTCAACTAGCATGGGAAAAGCCAAGGCTCAGGGCGAAGGTGAAAGAAAGGCTTCAGGTTGGGCAATGGTTGCAGGTATGCTGGCAGGAGCACACCAATTCAGGCATAAAACCGCACACGGACGCGACTTGACTGAACCCCGTCAGGAGCTTCCAAAAAGGATCCCCCCTTGTTAGCCCCTGCTCCGGGCAGCATCTGACGAGCCATGCGGACTGCCGACCTCGGAGGGCAGTAGGTGCCAGCAGTGCCAACTTGCTTCTTGTTGCTGCGGGCTGTTAACCGATTCCCACCGAAACAAGTGGGCAACCTTCCAACCCTAAACGCAGTGGGTGGTTGGGGAAGCCTTCAAACCCTAAAAGGAGCGGGTGGGTGGGAAGCCTTGGAGGCCTAAGAGGACCAAGTGGGTGGAAAACCCTCAAAGCTTAAGAAGCCAAAACGGCTGCGGCTTGGAGTTTCACGACTTCGAGGTGTGGCCTTTGAGCATTGAGGATTTCGCGCCTGCCTCCCCACACTGCTGAACGAGTCGCGAGGCAGGGTGTTCGACAAGATGAAACATGTAAATCCGTGTAGCATCATCGCACAATCCACCACGCAACTTCCACGACTACGCCGATAGAAGCATCAAGTGCACAGTTCAAAGCTTTCAGGACATAGGATCCAGGGATCCAGGACTCAGGGTTCTGGTTTGCGAGCTAAGGGTTCAGGCACCTATGGTCTATGGGGTTAGCATGGATTCGAGTTTGGACTTGCACTCTCACAGGACGCGCCAGCGGGACTTAAGGATTCTCAGCTCCCAAATCCGGCCTTTCCCGGGACCGGAAGGAAAAGAAGTCCTTCTGTGAACTTCCATAAATGTTGCTTGGCGGCATTGCCACGTAGTCCACCTTCTCTCGCTGATCTGACGCACTCCTGGGCTAACGGATTTCAGGGGTGTGTCTTGAAGTTGTTAAGTTGTTGTCGCTGCTGGCGGCACTGGCTGCGGCCGAAGTGGTGTTAGTTGTCGCAGCAGAGCTGCAGTTGCTGCAGAAGTGTTTGGAAGTGTTTTTGTTGCTTCGGGGCTCCGTTGGATTTGCCCTAGCATCGGGCTTCCGATCATGCCAGTATGCCAACGAGTTTGTGCGGCATCTGTCGGGCTTGTGAGGGAGAGGTATGTATGTCCCCTGCCCACCCAAAGCATGGATTCCCACTTCGTTGTGCGCATGTGCAGTCCTGCGCGCGTGCAGACATATAGTCTGGATCGCTCTATGATCACAGACCTGGGCCACACCTGATTGCAATATGCATTGGCCCCCTCAAGGCATTCCTCCTTGATAACTTGCCAGTCATGCTTAATGTGGTCGCTTAGATTTGAGGCTTGGGGCCTCTGAAGAAGCCCCGTCTAAATTGAACAGACTTCCTAGGAGGAAGGCATCAGACCTCCTGCATTCGCGTACCCCTCTCCGGCAGCTTACAGGCCAAGCGGCTGCAGCTTGGCTTTCAAAGCCACCAAGCTGTCGAAGGCGGCAAAGACGTGTTTGCTACTGTTGGCATCTTCCAGTGAGGAGGCACCTGGGCTTGGATCACTTTAACACGTGAACTGGTGGTGGCAACGCGTCGGAGCAGCAGCGGCAGCAGACAGCCAAGCAGCGATGCCAAACGCCAGGAGAAGAGTATTCACAGGAAATCAACAAAGCAGCCTTCACCGGACAGCCACTGTTGTTCGAGCTCTTGGCATTGAGCTTTTGATTAACGTTTCTAAGACAAGACCAACCAGCACAGGAGCTGCAAGATTCGCCCAACACTCGCAAAGTGCAGTGGACCCAAAGGTTCTTGTCGTGCCAGACTGTCCAGAGCAGCGCGTGAATAATGCTGGCAGCTATTGACTAGGCTGGGCAGCCGAAAGCCTTTTAACCATACACAGTTCTTGAGAATCGGAGCACCATATAAACCTGAAAGCTAAATGAGCATGTGAACGCAAAACACTCTGTCGAGGTTGTGACCCCCCAAAGCAACTCCCAGAAGGAGATCAAAAGGAACACATCCAACCCCAACCATCCCGAAGCAATCTTCCGATCGACTCGGGGTCCTGCCTTGGGCGGGCGGGTTGAAGGCCGTACGAGCCAAAGAGTCTCACGAATGAGTTCTCCCCCAAGAAAGGGCCAAGGAACCGTTTTCTGCAAACTTCTCGAGCGCGTCGTTGGCAGCCATGGAGGCGGCACGGCTGAAGGAGGCGCCTGTGGCAAAGCCTTGCAGCCTCGGAGAGCACAAGCTCTCTCCTTTCTGAAGCCACACACTCAGACACTAACTCCTTCTCTCTATCTCTCTCTCAAAAGGACCGTATTTCAAAGGAGGTGCTCTGATTGGATCTTGCGGGTCTGCTGCTGGATGTTCAAGAAGAGCAGCTTCTTGTTTCCGCCTCGACATGGGAAGGTGCAAGGCTTTCGCTTCCAAACCTACCGGTCATGGCAACACTGGCATCGGGCATGACTCAGGAGTGAAAAGCTTGAACAGTGTCATCAGCTTGCAGTAGGCACATAACGGCCGCACGCATTTTTCATGAATGCAGTACCCTCATATGTCCCTGGCATGCTCGGAACCTGTCTTCTGGTTTGTAGGGCCCACGCATGAGTGCATGACGGTCGGCAGATCCCGGCGACCAGTGCATATCATGCGAATACTGGTTGAAGTAGTTGCTAACATCAAAGCTATGGACTGTGCAAGCGACAAGTCCCTAGTGGCCCTAGTGCAAGAAAACTTCACTTTCTGCAGATGGTCCTTGCACCATGCGACGTGTCTCTTTGTGTACGTACTTGGGAAACCGGACCGCGTAGATGCTTTCGCCACTTCAAGCTGCCAGCAAAGCTCGCGCCTACCATCTCCTTTAGCTCGTTGAATTGCTTCTGATTCTCCTTGGAAGTTAGTGAAAACGTGTTGGTGCGTAGCGACAGACTGGCAATGAGAGCTGATGCAGGGCGCGACAATGTCAACTGCGTTCTGCATGGTTTTTGATTAAGTCCCAAGGCCCAAAAGCCCACCAATGGTGTCGGGGAAACAACAAAGCAGGTAAGCGGGGACGATCTGATGCTAGGAGCCACTCCGCCGGTTTCATGAGAACATCTGCCAGTGCTCTCTGCACACAAAGATGGTTAAAACAACGTAAGGCCGCCCCAAGACAGCGCCGAGAAGCCAAGTTCATGACCTCAGTTTGGTGGTCCACCTTTTCTCCAAGCCAGCCTGCATCCGCCTTCTGCGTGCTCGCCACCCACTCCTTGCACACTTTACTTTCAATTAAGCCCACAGGCAGAAGAGCGAGATTCCATGAGGCTTCTGTCTCGCGGCTTCTTCTTAGTCAGAATAATCCAGTGCAGCTGGAGACGACTACCGAGGCACTCGAGGGCAGCAAAAGCCGCAAACCATCTACATGGGACTTTCAGGCCACGCAGGTTTTGGGATCCACGGCGAAGGGGCTGAGTTTTGGGTTTCTGAGAACGGAGGAACCGCACAGGGGATCAGAGGGCACAGGAGTTGGAGCTTCCGGGGAGCTCCAAAACTAGAGGACCCATCAAAGGGGGTCAAAAGCCTAGAGGGCCCAAAATAGCCCTCGCCTCTCGTAGAAAGGCGAGTGAGAGGGGCAGAGAGCTCCGAATGGAGGTCTGGGTCACTCAGACTCTCAGCCTCGAACACCTTGAACAACTTGGACCCAGCCCCCGCCCGCCGAATCGAAAATCTGAAACCACACTCAGGTGCCACCCACATCGCATAAAGAACTATGAAAATCCAGGGCAACATCATCAACACGATCCTTCCACATGCCTCATGCGAATTGTCAGCAACTGCCCTCAAAAGGAAGTGTCAATTACCTGTTCACGAATCACAGAAGATGTCATGAGTGCTCCTACCACGGATTTGTAGCTTCGACTGTTATTTGCTTCCTTATTCTGGCCTGGAACATGAAACGGATGCCCCCCAAAGCAGGTCAGGTAGCAATCCTTTTCATGCACTCCGTATGTGATGATAGCATCGAGTCTCATCTTACTTCTAAGATCCCTGCAAGCTTAAACCATTGACCATGCATTCCCTTTCAGGGTTGCCGGGACAAGGTGCTGCCAGCTTCTCCATGTTTCTGTTGGTGATGCCCTCGGTCCATGCCGGTCTAAAGGTCAGGTTTACCGAGAATGGGTTTGCAGGTCTGTGCGCTTGGGTTTCAAGGTTCGGGTACTGTGCCCGCATGCATATGTGGACAATGCAAAGGCTTCCATGCAGCTTAAGCATATCCATCAGGACTCACAGCTTGGACACCTACACAGCCAGTGCCGACCGTTCCAGTTTCGAAAACCCAGCAGCGGGCACTCGGGAGGTTGCCCAATCTTACTTCAAGATTGGGTCCTCGAACAATGCTCTTATGCCACCGCAAACTCGGCCCTGCATCCTGCATGCTGGGGCATCGGCTGTGGCTCTTTCCAGGTTTCGCAGGATGGTCCGGTCCCCTGAAGCGACGGCGATCTTACCCCTCCAATTGTGCTATGCCTCTCAGCTCGCGATACGCAGCACTGTGCACCGCCGTCCCCGGGTGTCCCCGGTAGAAACGGTCCGGACATTTGAGCAACCGCTCCTCGAACAACAGCATCCCGCACGCAGTGCACGTCACCTTGGAGAGCCAGCTACATGCACCCCCGGCAGATGTTTGCGAAGAAAAGACTCTGCCATTCTGCTAAAAGGGACTGCAATCTCTTGCGCTCCAGATTCCAGCTACATCCTCTTAAGCCGCCAGAGAATGTCAGTCTTTTCTGGAACTCGGGGCCATGGCTAGTCCAGCAGTTCTGTATAGGGAAAAGGAAACCATAGGTTCAACAAGCAGCTCCCCAACAGCGACCCGACAGATTTGCCTTGCAGCCTGGCTGTAGCCGTATCAACCGCCCAAACTAGACCATGACGTGTCAGAGCCTCGCACAGGAGCACAAGGCGAACCCTGAAACCTCCAGCCGAGAACGTCACCACCCGTCCAGCACGGATCAGCGCTCATACATCATTGCAGAAGCCAAGCCAAACGGCCATAGCTAGAATAGAAAGGCTAGTGTAGTGCCGAGCACGGTATGATCTGGTGGCATGGTAGGAACAAAAGGCCAGCCCAGTTGCAGAAGATCCGCGCGAAGTTCGCTTGGCTCGGCGAGCAGTCTTTGCCCCTAGAGGCGTCCCTGCAAAGGGGCTAAGGGTTTTTCACAGAATATAGGGCTTTAACAGAAGAACAACGAGACAACGCCAACACACGCCTCGCATGCAACGCGTAGCCTTGGCCTTACCTCGAACCGCCTGTTACTGCTGTCGCCAGGGCCCAGTGATGTGGCCCAGAACTGGCTGGGTTTCAAAAGCCTTTTGCATCCATGCCAGTTCAAACTGCCGCTTACTGATCGAAAGCCTGAACAGCGAAACTCCGGAATCATGATGGTGATGATGGTGGCGATGATCACCAACATCCATGGTCATGACCGTAGCTGGTATCGGACTATTGATTGGCTTCTTCTCTAGACTCCCTGAGCAGAGCTTCGATAGCGATTGAAGTACAGCATCACATCTTTTGGCTTCGGACACAGCTTCCAGCTTGAGTTCAAAGCAGTGTTATTCATGCTTCCGTTTCTGTTCTGAGCGCTCAACTTCGAGTCTAAGCTCCGGTCAATATGGGCGACCGCGGCGTCCAAGGACGACTGTGGCAACCCCTAACCCTACAATCCCCGTGACTGTGAACGATTTTGGCACCGAGACGGCGAGGGGGGGGCGGGGGCGGGGCACGAACTCGACCACAGGTACTCGGATGATGATTTTACGACATTCAGCGACTCAGTGAGCACTTACCATGCCACATATTCGGGAGGTCATGCCTTGTCCCTCGAAGCTTTCGCGTCACGGCACGTGAGGCTCACTGGCAGTTCACCCTTCGGGACGTTCAAGAGCGATTTTGGGAGGTTTCCCTGGCAAACAGTTCCGAATTCTGTGCCGGAATTTCGGGGTCAGTTCCTGAATTGCGGGCTTCACTCCTCGTACGCAGTTCTCACCAGACCGGCGGTCCTCATCTTCCGGATATGGTCGTGCACACCGACTTCCTTCAAGGGTCTCGAGTTAGGGGTGAGTGGAATTAGAGGTTCAGGGAGCTGTGCAGTACTCGCAACTGTTCCATAGGCTGTGCAGCATGAGCCGCAATGAGAGCCTTCAGCAACAGGCTACAAGTATCGCTCGAGCGGATACTGTACGCTACCTTGAAACACATCCTTCTCGCCAGTTGCCGCGTAGGCAACTGGCCCATGCCAAGTCCCAAACAAAAAGGGCCCTCCTGGCCCTAGCCAGCCAGCGGGCCCCCGCGGAGCCACTTTATGGCAGCCCGGGTGGGGGATTGGCGCCTTGCCGAAGGCGAGGGCGGCCTGGCCGACTTCCGTCCCTTTGTCGCAGATCAACCCGGGCTTGAAGCCTCGGCAACAAAACAGCAAGAGTCAAGAGCACAGCACCGCATGCACCGCGCACCGCGCTGCAGACTGGCAAGGCTATCCGGCTACCGCTTTCCGCGCAGCCTTCCTCGCTAATTCTATGCAATTCTAGCGAGATGGCTGCACTTGGACAGGCCCCAAACTCTCCGCCCGACAGGGTCCCATGGGTAATGCTTTGGCCGCGGCTGAAGCCCATGCCGAATGGTGCCGCCATTGTGTCCGGAAGTGCGCCGCAGACCCTGACACGCGCTGGTTCTGGGCTTTCGAGCTCTTCTTAGCATCTGCCCATAACACCTGTCGCAGGCAACGATCCAACAAAGATTTGGTAAATCTGAAGGAGAAGTTTTCGGAATCTTGAATTCCGCGCCGGAGAAGTTCTCATCCTCATGCCTCAGGCCTTCAGAAAGCTCAGAAACCCCGGAAAGCTCTCCGCTCTTTGAGGTCGCCGGGTGTCGTGGATGCCAGGGCAAAGCTGACGTCCATCTTCTGAATGACCAGGTCCGCGAGGTCCAGTTGCTGGGGTTTGGTAAAATTGTGCTTCGTTCGGGCCGTTTCTAGAAAGCCTCCTTGCAGTCTTGGGTATTAAGCTTGGTTTTTCAATTTCTTTTGTCGATTTGAGAAGGTGAGAGATAAGCTCTGGGCACGGTCGGGAGTCGGGATCCTCCCATATACCCCTGGCATGTTCTGACGGTGTGCTTCTCGGTGGGGGTGGTGGTCGCGGTTGGGCTTTGGGTTTGTTTTTCCTGCATGAGCCTCCCAACCCTAAACTCCTGCAAGGAGGGTCTAGGCAGGGAAAAAAGTTTGTGCATAAAAAGCAGCTCAGACATCAATCCGAAGCAATTTGCCAAGTCGTACCCCAAATTTGTCCCTTATCCTACTTGTCGGGTATCATGGGGAACTAAAGGTTGACCTTTTTGGTTATATAGGGCTAATATAGGGATTATATGGGGACTATACTACCCAGAAAAGGTTAAAGGTTCCCTACTCTACTGCTAGGTTATTGCAGCCGTTCCTTCCCTCCGTCCCTCCCGCAGCCTTGGCAATCCTGAGCGATGCTGAAGCTTTCAAAGCTCGTTGTGCTTCATGGGTTTGGGGCTGTCGTGTCTCTCGTTCTTGGGCTCTAGGGCTTGAGTTCAAGATGCATGTCTTTGGAACTTGGACGCAGCTGCCGTATGTGCTTAGGACGGCTCTTTCCAATGCTGGAACTTGCTAAGCTACATGGCAGATGCCCTTACATCGTCAGATCTGTTCGTGTCGCAGCTGCTTCCGATGAAGAGCTTCAGCACTGAAGTGCCCAAAGTGTGGAACGGTCAAGCTAGCTGCATTCGAAACTAAAGAGACTAGCAGAGAAACATTTCTCCTGCACGCGGGAACCCCAAAGCCCAAGACAAATCATTGCTCATGCAGACTTGCAAAGCCAGAAACGAACGTAACCGGCCCGGCCGATCTTAAGACCAAGCGCGTCGCTATGGATGAAGCAACGAGCCCAGAAAACACCCACATCCTTTCGCTCCTCGTGCTGAGACCCATCGCCCTTTGCAGAGTGCCTCAAACCCTAGACCATTGTTCTCCCCTTCCATTGCAAGACGAAGCTCTTGTGAGAGGTCTTTCCATATCGGTCGAAGCAACCTGCCAAATGTTCGGCATCTCTTCAACTTCGAGGTTTTTGCTTGTTTTCTGGACTCGGCTGGGCATGAACTCCTGCCCCGGCCTTTGCGGGGTCCTTCTCTCACGCTGGTTGGGGCCCAACTATCTCACACTACGGAAGACCATCGAAGCTCCGTGGCTAAACTCCTGATGACACCTGCAGCCACCCTCATGAAAGCCTGGCCACCCCATGCCACCCCCCCGCTCCCAGCTCATGAGCTGCTACAGATCACGACTCGGCAAAGTTGAGGCTCGCACCCTCCAGCTCGTTCTTAGCAAGTGGCGGATTGGTGCTGGGTTCGTGGGCCACGAGGTGATGAGTGCTTGGGTTGGGCAGAATCATGACATGCAACACACATTGTTCATCGCAGAAAAGGACACTGTACCTCTTGATCTCTATGCTTGGATCATGTACACCTGCACGCTACACAGCTCAGCAAGGGGAGACACCGTTTCAGCGACCACTAGAATATGTGAATCTCGGCTCGGATGGATTTCTGCCATGTCAGAAAAAAACTTCCCCGGGCGATGTCGCAACTGCTCCAATGAAGGACTACCTGTCTGCTGCTTGGGCCTCCCATTTGTGTAGGTAGGTTTCTGCTAGGCCGGCAAGCCTCGGAACTGAATCATCTTACGTGTCTCATTCCACAGCTGGTCAGTGTGGTCATCGTGCCTAGCGTCCTGCGATAATCGATTGCCTCCCTGGTGCCAAAAGACCCACGAGGGATGTACTAATCCCTGTGGAGCAGCATGATATCTTCTATCACATCCTCCAGGAAGGTCATGGTCATGAGGATATCAAGCAGCGAGCCATCAGTATCACTAGCATTACGAGGCTCGGAAATGATGCTAGGATAAGAGAGGCTACTCGGCCGAGCTGCGTATCCCATATTGTTTGGGATCTGCTTGCCATCGCCTCCCGCCCACTTGCCTAGGAGGGCTCAAGTTTTTCAGGGCTCGGGCTTCGATTTCTCTTGCGGCAAATCAGCTTCGAAGATCCTTGGAGGCCCTGGCGTGAAACCCAAGCAACCCCCAAGAAAGGCAATGCTTCGTGGCTCACACCCTGGGAGCTTGAGATGTCCCTCGAACCAACTGGACCTTTAGCCTTGCGATGACGATGCCCAGTGCTGAAGCCTGCATGCTGCAAGTTCTTCAAAGCAACAGGAACCGTGCATGACAGACAGCGTCAACATGCTTGATGCCTTGTAATCTAGAAATCAATTCTAGACGTTAGTTCGGATGCCGCCAGAGGTTGGTGCGTAGTGGAGTGGTTGGGAAAGCAGCATCCGAACTGATCTAGCAGGCATTTGCGGACTTGTCCAAGATATTTCCGGCCTCATCCCAAAGCCGTCCAAAATCGTTCCAAAACCGACTGGACATATCACAAACATCGTCCAGAACTATCCACGCCCTGTCCAGGTACAGACTAATCCCCAGAACCGTCCAAACTTACGCGGAACAGTCCAGTCTTCTTATATAGCCCTCGAACAACCAGACATAGAAATCGCTCATGTGTTTATTTGCTGCCATCCAGGTTCTCCGAACTCCAGTTCTGGCACCAGCAAGGTCACAAGGGTGAGTCTCCTGGTGTCCACATCTTCGTGGCGAAGGTTTCAATGATGGGCAACCAATAGACAGCTCAACAAAGAAGTGGCCTGAGAAAATTAAAACAAATGCAGTATGAAGCTCTTCTGCAAAACATGCACCTTCGAGAGTTTTGATGCTTGAGCGGCAGTCGTAAGTCGGGGGGCTGCCCTCTGAGATTCAGCAAAGCCTTCGAGGCATGCATGAAGCAGCACACCACAAACTTGAAAAGCTTCAAGCCGTTTTTTGCCTCAACCCTCAAGCTCCCCCTTCCTCCCTGGCCCGAACCTTCCCATGACATCCTCTTTTTGAACGAGGTCTCTCTCAATGACATCCTCTGAACCCTAAACAGCCCTAAACCCGAAGACGGGGAGCCTTGAAGCCGGCTGCAGCCTCCTCATCGGTCTCCACCCTGGAGACAAGCCCCGAAATCTGTCACTCGGACCGGGGGTCTCGCTTCCGATGTCTAAAGTCTAGAGGCTCTACAACACGGCACACCAAGGCGGACCTGAATCCATGGATTGCATCCAACACTCACCTCGCCCACGCTGAAGATGAAGATGACATCGACAAGAACAGTCGAGATGATAAATTGTAGACACAAGCATAAAAGGGCGCTACAGTAGCCGCTAGCTAGCGCCGCTAGCCGCCGCTAGCAGTAGCAGGTTGCGGCTAGAATGTTCAGTCGAGCGTCTCGTCCGTCTCCGGAACCTCTTCCCCAGTGATGTCGAGCTTGGTCTCCTGGAGGAATTGGGGGGGGGTGGGGAGACCCCATGGAGCCGAGTGGGCCTGCAGGGGCCATCGTGGGCCTAGGCCCTAGGCTATTCTCCCGAGTGGGCCTAGGCCTATGACTATGGGTTCTCGTCATAGAAGGGTTACACGGAGTTACACTTGTGAAGAGCAGTGTATAGGCTGAGAGGGATTGGGCCTTAGGCCTCGAGGCTCAAGGCAAGCCATGCAAGCCTGAGCTGCAAAGCCATTTACGGCACACCGTGTGAGGCAATGACACGTCCAAACACATCCGAACAATGCAGAGCGCACCCATCAACGCCATCAAACGGCACGCGGTGGACAAGCTGGGAACGGTCATGCCAGAGCTACCCGGCTTCGCCACTTTTCCCCACACAGGATTGAGGAAAGCTCGATAATCCTTGATCCCAGGCTGTATGTATCCCGTGATGCGCTTCTTGCCTGGAGTGGAGGAGATCATATATGTGACAAGGAGGACCATCTTGCTTTCAAAACGATAACAGTCCTGACTTTCCCTGACGCCTGCCTGCATTTACGTCTTGCGTCTTGCCTTCGCGTAATCGCCGCTTTTGCCACACCAGAAGGCCGATATCCGGCAGGAGGGAGGAGGGCTTACAATCCCTGTTTGCTTAGCAAGGAAGGTCCAAAGTCCGAAGTCCCGGAGCCCGACAACTTGACTCCTGCAGCTTCTTCCATAGGTCTCCGTAGCCGACCTTGGCGTTTCAGAGGCTGAAGGCCTGCAGGGGCTTTTACAGTCACGAGAACTTCTTGAAAAGGGGCCAAAAGTCCGTGCTGGCCCCCAAATTAACAGCTAGACAGCCTGGCTCGTTAAAGGAAACTGCGGATGCCAATTTCGGAGATTCAGAAAATTTCCCAGGAACTGACGAATTGGGCACAGGGAGGTAGAAAGTTCAAGCGCAACTTCTGCAAAGGCCTCGAATGATTCAATGAGACATTCTGATATCTACGATCTCAGATGATAACTTGATAGGCACCAAAAATGAAAAATAACCATGATCACATCTTGCTTGGAAGTCACCGCGCAGGAGTGCTTCGGCAAGAATGCGAACCAACAAGATGAGGACTGAACTGCATGTGTCACCGGGTGGTCGGAGCAGGTCTGCTTCATGGGCAGATGATGATAAGCATGTGCTCAAGTTTATCCAAACCAGCGGGTGGACAGGCAAATTGAGCTACTGTCTGAAGTATCTGCCGTCTCAGCGGCGTTGCAAGGAGACCCACTTTCATATCGGACCATAAGCCATAAGCATCTGCTTCCGCCAAGCGACGCACTTGTCGGAATACTTTGGCATCTCCGCCCTGGATGGCAGGGTTTGAGGTTTTGGCATCCTTTACATATGACGCGCCATATGGTTTTGGGGCAGTGCCTCTTCAAGTCACCTGTGCTTCATTTGCAGATTCGCAATCGTTTCCAAAGTTTCGCTGAAATGGCTCGAGGCCGGCAACCCCAAGCAACAGTTCATGTAGTAATGTAGTATATAAAAAAACAATATAGAAATATAGTAAACTAGTGATAAAGCAATATAGTAATATATCTTTGTGGGCTTAGTCAGAAAACAACTGTCGCTTCGGAGCTTGGTTGAGGTTCAGCGTGCAGGAGGACAAACTACTTGTAAAGTCGATACAGTGTGTGTGTGTGTGTGCGCTGCATAGGGATCGGCTGAGTCGCTGCAGCGGTGGTATACTGCCGTCCGATGATGGCATGACTGTTTTGGAGCAAGCAGCAGTTGATCTACGACCAACTCCGTCCGTCATTCTGCACATCTCAAATAAGCCTGCAAACATCAAAAGGTTGCAAAAAAAACTCTCTTATCTTTCAACCGGTCAGAAAAGCCCTTTGTTCAGGATCCCCGTGCCCAAACAAGCAACAGCTCAACAGCGCGACACAGGTGAACGCCATGAGTCCTTTTTGCCCCAGAAGCAAATTTGACACTGGAGCTGCAAACTTCTGCTAGGATACGCCCGAGCGCAACTGCTGCAGTTCATGGTCCTGTCTAACCTTCCTGAAATCAGCATATTTTCGACGGCTTCAGATGTCGGGGCCTTTGCCTTTCAAGCTCCTGTTTGCCTTGTCATCCGTCCGCGCAGTATCAACCATTGCAGTAAGCTTGTCTACACTCTGCACTTCCTTTTGTTCTTATCCTCCCGCTCGTTACCTGAGAGTGGCATCGACCCTTCTCATCGGTTCGGTCTCGGGAGACTCCCCCGATCTATGCTTCCTCTTTCCAAGTGGCTCGAACTTCTCCAGCTTGGGTTTCTTCGGTGCCTGCGAGAAGCCATAAGCCGGCGACGGCGAAGAAACAAGCGTGTTCGAATGAACAATCATCTTCTTGGACGGATTGTGACTTTAGTGACACATGCATGCGCTGTGTGATAACCTGAATGGAAGGGCCCTGCAAGCAAGTGACAGTGCGAGCGGACGTCGAAAAAGGCCGCATAAGCAACACATAAACTGACGTGGCCTTGGGTCGTCCCGGTGGGCGTGGCTTCCTCGCCTCTCCAAGCAGTAAGTTAAGGCACTTACAGTCACTTACACCAAGTTGCAAGGCCCAGGCTAGCATAGCAAGCCCAGAGCAACAACCAGGACGAACAGCAGAAGTGTAGAAGAAGCTGTTCCCATAAGTGCAAAAGGGATTCAGGTAGCGTGCGAGTGAAGAGTCACAAGGAGAGCTCGAATTCCAGTCCCAAAGACAACGTGACCCTGCTTCGGTCAAGGATGCTGGTGAAGGCAAGATGATTTCGTGAAATCATGAGTGTCACGCCGGCTATCTGCTGAGGTCGAGCTATCTTTGAATATGGCCCACCGTCGCTGTGCCTGCTTCGAGCTGCCAAGGAGCTTGTCTTGTTCAATCGCTCTGCTCCCACTCTCCATTCTCACTAGGCCAACTCATGAGACTTCCGTGGGTGCCCGGCCCCCAATGTCTTTTTCATTATTGCTTCCTTCCTTCTGTCTGCAATTTAGAGCGTGGGGGCAGTGTGGAGGCGCATGCTGATATCGGGCTGTGTTTCGAGCGTCGCAGCTTGCTCCAGGACGCATCAAGTACCCACATGCTGTTTGAACCCACAGCCCTGAATCGCAGCAACAAGAGAGAGGACTGTATCTGGCAGGCCTGTGGGGCCGAAGCGCCAAGCGGAGACCCAGACGAAGCGGGGCTGACACCCTTGGCCTGCGGCAGGTTCAGAAGAGGAAAGTCTGAAGTGCCTGTACTACGTAGCGAGGACGCAGTACGTCGAATGCCAAGAATGCCACACTCGTGCATGCCTCTTTCGAGCCTCGAACTTTCCATCGAAGTCGCTCACAGCAGTGGCTTCCAGCTTGCCGATGCGTAGTCCTTGGTGAACTCTTTTAAAGGACGGAGGATTGGGTTGAGGCATGGGGCTTGAGAACCGCATCTTCGGGTCAGATGAAAAACGACAAGATGAGGACGGAGGCATGGAACAACGACACACCCGGCAACAGTAGGGTGCAAGACGTGACGAGAAATTCAACTATAGGTTTGGGGCTCAGGCCCGACCCTGTGATTCAGACATGCTGGTAGCAACGCCAAGTGGCCGATGGGTTCGAAGTCATCTCCCTCAGCGGAGCACTCGCCTAAGCAAACGGATCTCTGCTTGACTCGACGTGTGAGACGTACAGCACAGCACTAGGGCTTGAGGTTTCTCGGATTTGTGACTGTAACCTCAGGGTGCAAGACTTTGCGAAGAAGCTATAGTTAGTGGGCACCATTTCTGTCGGACAGGCAATCTCCGAATCCTCCTGCCGGCTGGCTATCTATACATCCGTCTGAAGGCGCACGTCTGCTTCTGTGTACGTAGAGTACCATGCACGTCTGTATGTATGTGCATGTGAGCTGCATGTGAATATGCATAATGCATATGTGTCATGTGCTTCCACGACAAGTGTGACACAGAGTGTAGTAGCGCATCTGGGAAGACAGTAAACTCGGCAGCAGTCCAGGTGAATGTTGAAATTAGGATCATTTGCCCTCCAGCTCTGTCCAGCTGTACTGCACGGCTGACGTGCATGCATTGCACATGGTGTCCTCAGGCCTACTTTTTGTCCCTGTACTGTAGCACGAGATCAGGATGCGTTGAAAGCTGCTATCTTTGCCTGGGCACTGTGACGATCTGGCATGAAAGCATCCTAATCTCCCAGTGTGCCAACACGCAAGTCTTAGTTGTGATGCACGAAAGACGAAAGTCCTGCCCACCCGAGTGCACGGGTCCCACGCCGTGATGGCTATTTCTTGCAGCTAGGTGGGGCAGCATCCGGAACCTCCCTCTGTTCTATGAATCACTTCGGAGTTTTTGCATTACGGATTCAAGAAGATGGGAAACTCGGAAACAGCAACAGCATGAACATTGGAAGACAAGTGACACTGCAGATCAACACTCGGTTTGAACAACCCCCACCTGCCAGGAGGTTATTCGCGGAGGGCCCAACTGCACATCGGTTATGCCCCAAAATGCCCCAAATATCTTTTACGACCATGCCTTCCCTTTCAATTCGACCCTAGCGACCGTCAATGCACCACTTGCCGCTGTCTTCGCTGAAGGTCAGCCTGCAGCAAAGCACCACCAAACAATATCTTGCACGGCTTATGGCGGACGCCGATCCCGTACACCACATTCCTGATCTTAGGAGCCTCCGCATCATTAAGCCATCACTGCAGGGACACGGTTGCGGCATCTCTGCTGACGCACATGCGCTGTTGGGCACTGTGGCTGCGACTGTGGCTAAGCTTGACAGCATCACAGCCTCCATCAGGTTTTTTGTCATCCTGGTTTGTGCTATGAAGGACTGCGAACCGGTCTGGATTCATGATCGCCTCTCCTGAGTCTACAAGCAGACTTGGACACAGCATCGGGCCCTCCCCTTTTCAGGACTGGACGGAGTAAACGAAGATGTCTCTTTGCTACATACCCTGAGCCCAAGCCCTAAACTCTAAGCCTTGTCGTGAAGTGGGGGCCAAGAGTTTCGGTGTCGAGGAGGCCTGAATCGTGCCATGACATCATGACCTGGCCGTGTCTCGTCAAGAGTCAAGACCAAACAATCGTCAAGGCGCTCGTGGAACTAGCCCCAGCCAGGCTCACACATTCCCGAAAGAGTCTGCCTTTGCCTCGAAGGTCTCTCCGCAAGCTCAATGCATCAGCCCCAACTCCGAAAGTCCGAAGGTTCTATCACCTGGGCCCTCGGCCCGTGCCAGAACTCATCCCTCAAGCCTGAGCCTACGCACTCAGGCTCTCTTCATGCAAGTCCTAATGCTGCCAGAAAGCTTCGCTGGGGCAGTGTCTGGCTTCAAAGCCTGTCGCGGGTTGGAAATATAATCCACGCCTATGACCTATGTTGCATGGTGTATTCTGCAGGCCATACAGATAACATGGCTGGCACAATGCCGTACATGTACATACACACACACACACATATATATATATATATGCACATATGTATGTATGTATGTATATATATACATATATATATATATATATATACATGTCCACTGTTCGTATGAAGGTATATTATGAATATATGCCTGCGTGCATCGCGCATATCGATTTGCATTTGCATTTCTACCTGTACGTACGCCGTAAAGTCAACGTCCAAAATCCTGACCAAATCAGCCCGCATCTCAGAGTTGAGGCTCGATACGTGGCTGGAAGCTTCTCTTCGTCCCGTGGGCCAAGTGCGTGGGGTTGGTTGGTTAGAGCGTGCATGCAGGATTGAAATCAAGAGACCATGCTGTAGCAAAAACAAGACGCAGACTTCCCATTCTTACAAGGACGAGCTTCGCAAATCGAGCTAGACAAACGCAAGACTACCCTGCACTTATGCAACAGTCCTCGATATTGCACGGTATGTTGTGACCCCATGTCTCTGCCGTCAAAACTCCCGAAACAGCCTGCTGCTTGTAGTCGATGCGGCCCGTTGCTCCTACCTTCTCGGGGCAATAGGACCCTTCGTAGCCTCAGCAGGATCAAGAAAGCAAGGCACATGGTGTAGGAGTCAGTCTCAGGCGTCTCAGGAGGCGAAGAGGAGGGTCTTAATCTTGCGTCATCCCGAACATGGTTCGTGTGGCAGGTCTCATTTACAGCGAAGGCCCCGGAGCTGGACCCAACATACAGGTCGATGCGGATGGCTTCTAAAAAACGCCCTGGGCCCCTGAACCAAAGGGCTGTTCCTGACTTCGCTGAGACTGTTGCTCTGTTGCAGGTCTGCATTGGAGATCCAAACCACCCGGCCTAAGGAGCCAACCGGGAGCTGTGTTGACAATCTTATTCATCATTACGTCCTGTCCCCCCAATTGCAGAACAGAGTTCAGCCGCCCCAAGCCCTACGGTCACCTCACAGCCGCGCCACGATCCACGGAGTGGTAATCAGGGCCCCGTGACACCGTGGCCACCGGAGCACCTGAAAACCCCAAGCCCGCGATTTCCGAAAAAGCGCACGGTAAAGCAAGCCAGGAAAGGGCGTGGCCGTTCATTAGTGGGTTGCGCGGGACATCCGTTTCTCATCATGGAGGTCAGTCTAGGTTGTATTCAGTTGGCTGCCTAACCCCTGGTAAATGAAACTAGCAGGGTCTGTTGTTATCCAGCTGCGTCTAAAGCTCACTCAAGCTTTGCTTTCTCGACTCGTAGGAGTCTGAGCTTCTGACTTGCTCGCGTGGGGTTTCTCGGTCCGGCCAAAGGAAGCTTCGGTGTCAGCATGACAGGAGAGTTCCGCGAAATCAGCAGAAGCGAACAAGCTACGGTCGGTTGAAAAGGGGCAGAAAGGCTGCAGCACTTCATTGACCCCGGTGCATCTGCTTCCAATACCTGCCATCCCCTTCAGCAGGTACCCGTGAACTCTTTGTGCCAAGGGCTTGGGCGACAAGGGGTTGGGCGGTTTCAGGTTGCCTTTCACCAAGGCAGTCCCGTGAAAAGCCCACGCGACAGACTCAACCCCCCGGGCTACCTTCAGTAGCTTGGGGAACCCATGAATCTCAGTCCCTCCTGAGCAAGCGCCTGATTCCTTGCAGCAGGTGTATTTGAAGCGTGCCCACAGACCACCCATGGAGTACCTTAGACACAAGCAAGTTTCAAAGGCTGGGCTTCAGCACTGAGGCATGATGTAAATGTAACCTTCTGCAAGTACTACAGTGATAGCAGTGCCACCTTCTTTGCACAACAAGGTAAGCATTTTCCGGAAGATGACTGACAGCAGTTTGACAGTAGAAACTTGACTCTGGGAAGTATTTCTGCCTCGGTGAATGCCCATGTTTGAAGGACCTGGTTCAGTGTATGCCATCCGCAGGCACGGCCCAAATTCCATGTCTAGCCGGTTTAGCGACCTAGGTTACAGGGAACGGCAGGAGCTTCTGCTGCCTCTGCTGCCTCTGCTCCTGCTATGCCTGGTCTTCTGAACCGTAGTGCCGATTTTCGCAGTGCACGGAGTTAGTTGCGTTCATGTGGTCAATCACAAGCAGTCTTGTGGGAAGATCGGTGGAGCGGCCAGTGCAGCCAGGCCTTCAGAAAGACTCCAAGGAGTACATGCCTACGCTTGCAGCATCTCCCGGCCCGGGCCAAACATCCCTTAAGAGAACACGTCCCGCAGTCCCGGTCCCGGCGGCTCGAAGTGGAGCCCACTGAGCAGGTCGTGCCCCGGACAAACCACGGGTAGGCGATACAGGACGTTCCTCGAGGTTGCCTCGGGGCGCTGGCGCTAGCCGTTCTCTCTTGGATTCTCTGAATACGTTCTGGAGCACTTCGGCACAAGCTAAGTACAAACTGTTACATGCAACCACCCAGATCCCCACTTCCTCTTTCCGTGAACTGCGTCAGGCCTGCTCCAGAAACCTGTTCCCTGCTTTGGCGTAGGCAGAAACGTGGTGAACATGCACTGCGAAAAACCACGCAGTTACAATCCCTGAAAGCTTCGTTTATGTCGGGCTTCTTGACCTTAAAAATTCCCGAAAGCCTTCAACCAAGAGCTCTTGAGGCAAGCAGGCCATAGAGTAGGCTCCCAGCGACGTACGACTAAGTCGACATGACTTTCGTCTGTTTCAGTGGTCTCCCGGCCCTGTGCTTGCCATGTCATGTGCGCTCTGTCCACCTTTGCTCCTGCCGACACATAAATGTCTAAGAGCAATCATTGCGCTTCCTCGAGTCTTGTCTGAGCATTCTAAGCGTTGCCCTCAGCTTTGAGAACTACCCCCAACTACCCTTCAATGCCTCCATCCCTCACCGAAACCATAACCGTGGCTCAACACGGACCTTGAGCTAACCAGGATTCGGTCACGCATGGAGCTCCTAAACCGTAAGCCTCCTTAGGCCGGAGGCCTGATCAAGCAATCCTTGGCCCAATCCATCCTGGCTGCGCTGTCCTTGAACTCGCGAGCATCTTGCTGGTCTGTCCAGCTCGGGTAGCACTGCCCTGGGCCGGAGGGCTTCAGGACTCTTGTTCCCACCCGCGCAGCTGGGCAGCTGGGCTTTCGGACTTAGGAGAAAGGCTCCGGGCGTAGGGTTCCTGAGCATGGTTTCACGAGGTGAAGCATCCCGGCGTTTCAATCATATGTCAGGATCAACTGCAGAGACTCAGAGCCTGTGTTTGTACGGAGCCTGCAGCACTCGATCCGAAACCTCCAGCTCTCGGCGGTCTGGCGAACCGAACTCTTGGCGCTGCAATGCAAACACCCAAACTGCTGACTTCCCGGAACCTACAAAGTCGAGAACGCACACAGACTCGACGCCGATTACCAAAGTGGCAAAGGGAGGGAGCATTGCGCTCTGGCACATGCCGTTGTTGATATGAGACACACAACTTGATAATGTCAAGACGAAAGACCGCCACTCCCGAAAACCCCAGAGGAACTCCCCACGTTTCGAGGCAAAGGCGCCCAAGCCAGCAGCGACAGCACAAACGTACTTGATGCGGAGCTTATTGTCCGCCTAAGCTATTTCCGGGGTTGCCGCTTGCTCCTGAAAGGCTTCTGGTTCTGAGTTCTTAGAATTTAGATACTATTCGATGTTGGGGTTCCGTTGAGGTTCCTTGCAGGGCTTAAGATAAGAGCCTTTGGAGGGTTTTCGTCAATCACTCTCGGACATGCCAAGCGAGGATTTTTCGTGCGGAGTCGGCTGCAGTTGAACTGCAACACAAAGCTCCAAGAGGGGCCACACCAGAATTGCACGAAGACCAGCCCGCCCCTAACGTAGAACCTCTAATCTCAAACCTAGATTGTCAGAGATCCTTATTATGGTAGGATTTCTTGTAGAATCCATTGAAGGGCTAGAGCGGCTAGAGAAGCGAAATTCAAAACCACCCCATAGCTTCCCAAATCTTGAAGATTCTGAGGCACTTTGTAGAAGTCAATCGTCTGCAGGACTCTGCCGGGTGGGCACTGCATCTCCTAGGCCCCGAAGCAGTCGGCCCGCGGGACATGGGACTGCGGCTATCCCACAAGAAGCAGACTTCATGCCCTGATGCTTCCAATCTGCACTAAGAGCGTCGACATGAACGGGCTGGAGCTTTCTGAATGCACCGCGGGGATCGAAAACAATCGACAAAACAGACATGCTCCAATCAACAGAGGGTGTTGGCGTTTGGGGGGATCCGTCGGACTGCATTTAGCAGGTCACACCGGGGGGGTGCCTTCAGTTACAGGCACTGTCCCGCTGTCCCACACTCCAAGGGAACACCGTTTGAGTCTGCGCAGCCAACAGGGGATCAGCTCAGTTTGCTTTTTCCCTTAATCTCGCTGCGGGTGCTTGCGTGCATGTTTGGTTCGGCCACCCCGTACCCCAAGCCCTTTCTCCGAGCCAGCGCCCCCAGCTCAGTGTGTGTGAGGGATCACAGGCGGAAGACTTCTGTTCCCGAGAAGTGGGCTGTCTTGCCAAGTTTCCAAGTCCAACCCAAGCCACACAGCTTGGGGGGGCGGGCCCATGGAGGTTCGGGTGGCACTTTGCCCTGCTTGGACTAAGAGGCTCGGAACGGAAAAAGGGGGGGAAGAGATGGCGGGAGGGAACCTCGACGTTGCCGTTCGGCCGGAGTGCGGCCCAGGCCATCCACTCACTCAGCTCACGGTCAAACAAGCACAGAACACGGCATCTAAACTTGACGTCAACGTCCATATATAAAACTAACTCAGACAAAGTGCAAAGCCAGCTGATGATGTAACTGTGTTGCGTGCTTATGCCTGAACATTTAAGGAGCCTCGGAGATGCAAGGGGCAAAGGTATGCTTGTCCTGCATTGTGTATGCTCTTGCTATTTTTTTGCCACCCGCCCAGCTGAAACAAGTCGCACCGCAGGGAACTCGTCAGAACTCGAAGACTTGAAGAGAGGGGCCCCAGGGAGAATACGTGTGCCACTTCGAAAGGCCCAGGAGCAAATGACAACCGTAAGGAAAAGGGCACACGTATCGTCGCCGAGCCTCAGAAACCTAGCGCTCACCAAGAAAGCAAGCCACATTAGCCCCAACAACCCCATAGGTACCCCGGAGTGGCTTGCAGGATCCTGGAGAGGGCGTCGCTGTGTACACAATCGAAGAGAAGACCACAGTAGTTACATGCTCATGCAAAGGCAAGATTGCGAACATAATGTTGAAAAGTGCAAAGAAGCAAATCGGGTAACGAGCAAACACCAAACGATGTACTCACTGGGAAAGTTCGCATTCGATGCCTAATTACTAATTGTAGACGGCAGTTCAAAGGCCAATTAGGATGCGGATGTGTGGCTTGACTATGGGATGATCTGCCACTTTGGGTACCAGTGCTGTACATCGCTCACTCATTCACTGTTGTTCACTCGTCCACATTTGTCGAGGAGGCCAGGTGGGTGGTCGAGCCACCGTGCACGACAGCAGGGAAGCAGCGGGGAATCCCATCTCCGAGCAGCCACAAGAAGCATCACTGTCAGCTGCCATCCTGAGCAGGTCAGGCCACCTGTATGTGTAAGGTGAGCGTACAAACAGTGTCACGACATGTCGCCAGCAACAAGCCATCTGGAGCATACGGCAGGCATGGGAAGGTCATGCCCATTCGCCTGTGGGAGAATCGGTAGCCACTATTGTTTGCCAGTGTTCTCCACCAGCTCGCGTGTCAGAGTCATCCACTAGCTCGCGCGAGGGGGATCAGTATCACCACCAAGCCCGCAGGGGCGATGTCTGTTGCACCGGCAGAGTCGAAAGAGGCCCCGCTTGGACGCAGAAGATTCACAGCCATTTCAAAGCTGTGGCTCGTCAGATGCAGGAGCGGAGGCAAAGCAATGCCAGGAGGCTTCAAACGAAACGATCGCTTGCCCATAGGAGCGAGATATGGCCATGTAATCGGTTCTCGCTATGGTCTGCTGCAGACCCAGGTGTCTGGGAAGTGTCATGTCAACGTCTAACCTGTTGCGGGAAATCTCCAAGCCTTCCAGCTAAGTATTCCAGCATAGTTGTTTCTGGTCAGACGGGGGCCAGCGATATCTTCCCAGTAGCTGCAGTCAGAGATTATGCCAGAGGCGATTCCATGGCGAGCGCATCCATTGCAGTGTCGGCTAACTGACCGAGTAGGGTGAAATGATTATGAAGAAGAGGAGAGTCAATGAGGGAAGTGAAAGGAGGAGGAGGAGGAGTGTAGAGAGTGCCAGCTTGGTGTGTGCGTGTTTTTTTTTTTGCTTGCAAGGGGAATTATAGCAATCGCTAATTAGATATGACGAATTAGTGAATTCACGAGGGGCCTGTGGCGTAACGGACGTCCACGAACGACGCGAAGTAAGGATGTTGTATGTTATGTAGAGGAACGAAACGGCGGGGGCTCAGTTAAGGAAAACTAAGAAAGGGGGCGAATGAGGGATCTTACACCCCTCACGGAGCCCAGAAGTCCGCTCACGGGAAGACGATCTCCGGAATGGAGACTTCTTCCTCCTCACCATCGGAGACCTCGAGGATAGGTTCCTGGGTCGAGTGTGTGAGGTCCTGCGCACGTTCCCTGCAAAAGGCATCGGGGAGCTTGGTTTGCTTGATAGCGTACTCACCATAGTAAACTGAAAGTCGGTACCTGTTCAAGGCTTGCGGGGAGGTAGGGGGTCGGAAGCCCATCAGCGCGAGGGTAGTGTTGAAATACAAGTGGTTGCTGGTGGCAATCTGCGGGGCCCAAGCTGTGAGGATTCGACGTTCTTCACCGTGCCAGAGTTCGGTACCATGTAGGAGGGTACGGGAGCTAAAAAGGCAAGGCTTATGTAGAATATTGACAAAGCTACCTAGTCGGACGTCCTCACTTCCAGGTTTCCATCCCTCTACTGTGCCTGTAGGGTTCTCGATCCAGACTCGTCCCTTGGTAAAATGAGAGAGTCCAATGACCAGTGATGGAGCCCATGAATTACGATCGTCCGTATGGCAGGGCTTACCAGGGCCTAGGCGAATGGAGGCAGAAGTAAAAGGGGTCTCCTCGGGTTGAATCGAGCGAATAAAGGCACAGACAGCTTGTGTAAAGCCAGGATGCGAGTCCGTGAGGCGCGTGAGCGCGTTAGCAAGCCGGGTGGTTTGTCCCAAAAGCAAGAACCTGTTTTCACCCTCATCCAAATCCCAGAATTTCTTAGGCACTTCCTCGGAAAGGCGAGCCATGGCCAAGCAGCGGTCCTCCAAGTCCAGGGTGCCGACGTTCATGAGAAAGCTTTCGGAGAGGGCTTCGAGGGACTTGTTGGTGGGGGCAAAATCGATGTCTTCGGGGGTTTCAGGGTCATTGGCTTTGAGCTTCGGGTGCCTTTGTTTTTTACGGGGAAGTGGGGAAGCCGGCTCCCTGTCTCTGGGTGATTCAGCTCGGGTGGTATCCCGAGAGAGTCGTACCTCAGTGGTCGAGGCGGCAGGCTCGTTAGCATCCTGGGAGGTTTGGTCTGGGGTGCTTGCTGAAAGGGGATCGGGAGGGGGGGGAGTCGCCGAGTCCTCTTGGGTTTCAGCAAATGGTTCCATGAGCAGGTATGGAGTCAGGAGCTATAGAGACTGAGCAGGGGAAGGGGGGAAAGTGGGTAAGTGGGTCTGGAGCTAGGTAAGGAAGCGAGTTGGTTCGGGTCGGTTTTTTTTTTTTGTGGGGGAGGTTCGGGCGAGTAGGAAAGTTTTGGGACTCGCAGTGCTCAGACCTAGAAGTATGCAGGATGGATATGTTGCAGTGGGTTGGGGCCTTGAGGACTCAGGGCTTGAGGGGGAGGGCGCGCATCCTTCGTTTTGTCACAGCACATGCAGGAGTCTGCCGCCACTGTCATTACGAATTATCAATTACGAAATATGAATTAAGTGGAATGCAGAATGCACATGCATGTTGAGGATCGGAGCCCAAGCAAGTGCCAGCGCCGAAAGGCAGGTAAACCAAAACGATCCTAAGTCAAGTAACACCAAAGAAACAACCAAGTAAAGAAAGGTCAGGCATGCTTGGTCCGATAGCCTGGTCGCTACTTTACTGTGGTGGATACTGCATCGCACCTCCCAGGAGACTAGCCATAAGGTTCAGAGCGTCTTGGGCGCGAGGATCGAGGTAGGTCTGCGGGCCCATGCGCCATCCAGGGGGACTGCTCAGCAGATTGGACAGCTGAACCGGTTGGCGTGCCGGCATAGACTCGTGTAAACGTAGGATCGGGGCAGTCGAAGTCTGGTCTGTAGTCGTCTGCCCGGGGGCGAAAGCCTGAGGCGCAGTCGCCGGCATTGGCGGTGGTGCGGCACTAGATGCCGGGGTCGATGCAGGCTGCGACGACGCCGGTCCAGAGGGTGCCGTGGTCGGTGCAGTCGTAGTTGTCGAACCTGGCGTTGGAGGCGGTGGAGCTTTGGTAGGCATCGGTGGAGTGAGGCGAGCGGCGATCTTCTCCAACTGGGCCTGTATTGCCTTGTTGCACTCCCCGTGGCGCTTCATCTTCTCATCGATCGAGCCCGTGATGTCCTGGATCGCATTAAGGACATCGGCTTGACCCCATTGCGTGTTGCCAATGCCTTGCACCTGATGCAAGGATGGCATAGCCTCATTGCGAAAGTTGGTGACCAGGGAGCAGGCTTGCTTCACGTGGTTCATGATCGCATGAAGTTGACTCGCCAGTTCCATTCGTGAGTCCACAGCGCTGGCCAGGGAGGTCTGGAGCTCTTGCATAGTGGTGGACATCTGTGTAGTCCAGTCCGGGCCGCTGGCATCCACGAGGGTAGAGAGCTCCACCTGGACTTTGGATTGTAAGTCGATCATCTTGTCCATGCGGGAGCACAGCTCTCCCTCAAGCCATTGCTGCAGGGAGCCTTGGAGATCGTCGAGGGCGCCCTGCGTAATGGAGGACTGATTCAGCAGTTTCGTCGGCTGTAAACTGAGAAAAAGTTTCCGGAGCAGGGTCAACGGAGACTGGTCTTCGGTGGGGCCTTGTAGGATCCCTTTGATCACATGCACTGAATTGGCAA